CCCCCCCCCCCCCCTCAAAAGTTAAACCCCCCCCCCCCTCAAAAGTTAAATGGTCGGCCCCTTAGTGTTAATACTTCTAAAATGTACGCACTTTCCAACAAATAGTTAAAGGGCTTAAACTAAAGCAAATTGTCTAACATTTTGTACAGTAATTAAAAACCCAACAAATTTTCCATCCTTTAACTCAAAATACGATTGAAGCTTTTAAATTTCGTGCGCAAGCCATTTTTAGTTTGTTGGAAAAGTAACACCCCGTTTTTCACAAATTTGAGTTCTTTTTCCATCATTCTACATTATGGGTACTCAAGGAATCTATATATAACAAGAACTTGATACCACGAGCTGTTTTGCGAAATTGAGAGCTGTTTTGCGAAATTGAGAGCAATTTCAAATCTGTTCAGTTTTTTTATACACCCTGTATTGTATGCCCACTCATCACGCAAACGCAATTTTCAAACTGCTTGAACACTGAACTGTATAGATCACTGAAGCATACTTGCAAAATCACCCAAAATATCTATAAAACACCCCGATAAATAATCGTAATTATCCATATATGTACACAAGGAAGCACAAGTTTCCGTTCCGATTTAGGTTACTGTGGAATGTTCATTTTGTGAAATCGTAAAAACAAACAATTAGCATTTTAAAGCTCCTTCGGGCTACGCCCGACAGAGCAATTAGTCACAATCTATATACCAAAAGTTTAGTTTCTTTTAATTATATTACCCTACAAGTTCTTACTTTTCCTGTCAAGAACCTCCCAGTGTGGACCAGTGTGGTCCTAATCCCTTGCTGCCCCATCCCTTCCACTCAAGAGTTCTTAAAAGACACCCTGCATCGTTTGACAAATAAGATTAAGAATCTGCGTCCAATCTGTTTTGTGTTGACAAACACGAGTCAAATGTGAGTAGTTACGTATAGGTTGGTAGGAATGTAGGAAGATAGCTAGATAATCAAGTACACTGCAAAAAAATTTTCCCTAAAAACTTGAGTAAAATAATGCGCTCACAATGACTATAGCCAAACTAATACAGTCTCAGTATTTTGAGTATGATGCATTGATTCCGCGAAAACCTGACTGCAGATGATAGAAAAATATTATTGTCCCGTATGCATCTGATGAATTTTAAGCTTAAAAGCTTTATAAATAAAAGCACCAGAAGTTATTTTGATCTTCTTGGCCTTTATAAATAGGGCATACCTTGGCAAATTTCCACATAATTATGTTTTTGGTTTGTGGAAAACACCACGTATATTTATTATTGTAAAGCTTTTGATCCGTATAAGCCCGGATCTCATCAGCACCAATAACACATGAAATTAATCTTTTTTATATGAAATTGAATTTTTAGTGTTTTTCCATCAAATTTCCATGTTGAAGGAAAAACATCTTGGAAATCACTGGAGCATGCAGCCAGTATGTCCCAACCATTAAAACCTAGGTGTTGGCGTAGTATGTAACAAACTTTTAAATAATCTTTTGTGGTGTTATATAGACGTTAAGCAAATTTAGCAGCTGAGTTATAAAAAAAAAACATTTTGAATCATTCCGTAATTTCAGACTTGTCATACAGTAACAATATGACGAACAAGGGCATTACTGTTTACATATACCTTTTCAGATTTTTATTGAAAGTAAATAGCTTTAGGAATTATTACAGGTTTCCCTGTTATTTGTGTCGTAAAGTAATGCAGACTTTGTTAATGCAAATTCGGCGTACTCATATACTAAGATAGCTTTGGATGATAATTGATAAACGTTGTGTTCTCCACGAAAACAAGATTATCGCTATTAAATCAACAATGAACTGAAAATACCAACTAAATTTGCAAAATACTGATTAATGTTTCCTGTTAAAAATCCTCAATAACAACAATATAACTAAATTTATTTAAAATTACTTTTAGAAACTCCAGTTGTCAAACCATGACATACATGAAGTTTATTGCGACTCCGATTGCATCACTCGCAATCCTTTCCAACATTTGCGTGGTCATTTTATTTCTTCGCAACACAATTTGGTTAAAGAAACCTTACAACGTGTTTATCCTCAGCCTGGCGTTTACTGACTTGACTACTGGAATTGTGATGATCATTGCTCCTGGCTTGAGTTTCAAACCAACTACAGTTCCAGACAACCTATTCTTTGGTAGACTTTATTGCCAAACTATTGCCGGTTATTGGCTGTTCTTTGCACTCGGAGCCGTATCAGTCTATACTTGCTTGCTCCTTACTATTGAAAGATGGACGGCAATTTGTCGACCGTTGAAGTATAGAATGAGATTTGCCAACAAACATTTGATTAAATATTTGGTTCTGATATGGATACTTGGATTTGGAACGTCACGTATCGGTACTGTGGAGAGAACATATCAAGCAAAGACCTCAAACATGACAGCAGCAAAATGCATCGGTACACCACTAGTTGAAGGTAAAATACTATATTTATATTCCGTAAGTAAAATATTTTATTTATATATCTTCGAATAAAAACACTAAATTTGACGCTACTGAGATGAACAAAACTTCACTGACATTGTGACAAAGAGCTTTTAGCATATATTACGCAGACTTCGCGTTCATGCATGCATGGACATCCTAAAATTATTAAGGCAAGCGTCAGGTTATTGCGAAAATATTCTGTCCTTAGATTGGCATGGCGAATATTTGCTACAAATACCCATTTACTGGCGGCAGTGGGATTTTGAATTTCACTCCGGCAAAATTAAAAGATAAGACGTCTCCGATAATTAATTAATGATCCCGGAATACAATTTTCATTCTTGGTTCGTTGCCTTGTTAGAGAAAGCAATTCAAAAACTACTTCGGCTCATGTGCATGATCGGGTTAAGAACATGAATTTCTCCTTAGCTGAAGTTTTCAAATCCACGTTTGCTGCAAAGTGTTATCACGCGGTATATCTTTATCACGCTTTATATCTTGCATTCATTGATGGAACTTATTATAAAATCCAAAATATAAATTAATCACGATTCTGTTCATATCCTTGAAGAGTACAGGGGTTTCAACTAATGTCTCGTATAAAGTTGATGGAGTGACAGCCAACCAATATGATTGGATAAATAAGCTACAATTAGTTTCAAACATTTTGTAACTGCAAAAATTAGTAAAATTTTAAACAAAGAAAGTGTGTGTGTGTGCGGGGGGGGGGGGGGGGGGGGGTGGAGGTTGACGCCTGACAAACAAAATAATCAAACCAATCATAGTCAAGGGATTAGAAAGTTCCAAAGTGCGTATAGGCCACCCAATGGCATGGATATATGAATCTTGATTTATGTCTTATAATTTCACAGGAGATTTTATTGGATTGATGACAGTTTTATCGGTAAGTCTCAAGTTCTTTATTCCGTCTGGAATAATATTGGTCCTGTATGCTTGTGCTGTTCGCAAGATAATACAAACTGGCAAGCAGTTCCACGGCCAGAACAAAAGACAACAGGTCATCATAAATGTTACCAAGATGGCAGCGACAGCCTCACTTGTATTAATTGCTTGTTGGTTACCAAGTCAGGTGAGAATTGATGAGTTATTTTGTGCACAATAGAAAAAGTTCTTTTCCACAAACAATGTTTTCAATAACCGTCCACTATAAATTCTAATCAATTTCTCTTTTTAGAACTTATTAAGTTTTCCCTTTTCATATCACTCTCAGTCTCATTCCATTATAAATGTTAATTATCAAACTTATCAGTCCTTCCAAGGTAATCTCGGCGGCTCCTTGACTCTGAATTTTGTTTATGTAGGAGGGAAGGGCTGGACATGGAACGATGTCACGTTGTAGATAGGGGTGTTAAGACTTACACTTATACAGTGTGGAATCTCTTGACCATGGGCGTACCGGGCGGGGGGGGGGCGGCAGCCCCCCAGTTTGTTGGGCAGTCGGGCAATATTCGCTGAACAGTCGGGCAGTTTTGGTTTATAAAAAAAAAAAATGGGACAAATTATGTAAATTTTGCGGTCAATTTACTGATATTTCGAAAATTTTTGTTAGGTTCCGGAAAATTTTTGTATGTCCGGAAAAATTTTTGACCCCTAAAATGGTACACTGACCGAAATTTTTATTGGCGACGGGGGGGGGGGGGGAGGTCGCCAAAAGAAATTCCGGGAAAAATTTTTTCGGTACTTGTCGGGCAAAATCCGGAAAAGTCGGGCAAATTTCTTTCCGCCCCCCTAAATTTTTCCTTCCGGTACGCCCATGTCTCTTGCCTTTCTCTCCACGTTAAGAGGATGATTCATGTCACGATATGCATGAGTTTGATACGGAAATTTTATTTTCGTCTCTGTAATGACATCGTCTGTAATGTCATAATCGTACACATCAGAGACGTATTTCATATTCCTGTCTATAGTCTGAAAACAATGACGTAGCAATTTACTACACATGTATCATCTTATAGCCTAGTTCTGTTGTCACTGCTTATTCCTTAAGTGCAATACGGAATATCTTCTGAAAATCAAGATATTTCCGAATTCATATATATTAACTGTGTATGACCAAAGGGTCCACCATCGCACGGGCAATAACCCAAATATGATAGATAAGTAGGCCAATTTTTTCATTCCCACTCTTCGCAGCAATTATATAGTTTTTTAGATCTTGCTCTCGACCTCAATAATAAAAGCTACTGGTAATACATAATTTCAATTTCTGATCAATTAAATATTCTTAGTTTTATCATTCCCAGTGCGTAATTTTTATTTCAGATTAATTTAATATTAGTGAAATATGACCGAGCTGGAATGTTCAGTCATTTCCGTAATACTGTCGTAATATAAAATTGTTATTTCAGATTGATTTAATGTTAGTGAAGTAAGGCCAAACTGGAATGTTCAGTCATTTCCACAATCATACAAAAATATATATTTTTATTTCAGATTAATTTAATATTAGTGAAGTATGGCAAAGCTAAACTGTTCAGTCACTTCCACAACTCCACCATAGTGTTGGTTTCAATGAACTCGACTTTAAATCCATTTATATACGCGTTGTGGGGAAGACAGTTTAGGATTGGGATCAAGTCTGGTTTGTGTCGATGCATTGGCCATACGACCAAGAGTGACGTCACTTTGAATTCTGGTCAAGAAGGCAGCTATGAATTATCTTGTACATCAGGACAAAATAACAACGCTTTTGAAATATCAAATATGTAATGTAGACTCAATGCATGTTCTTTCTTTCAGTTTATGAGTAAGAATTACTAATGTAAAAACTGTAATTAAAAGTGACTGCACTGTAAGAAATCAAAAAATATGAAATGCATATGGATGACTGGGATCATTGCACAAAGACGATAGCTAAAATATATTCCGCAAATCCTTTACTATAAACTACTATAAGCCAACAGCGCTCATCCTCCACAACAAATAAATAACTGCATATGTATACTAATATACAATTGTTAGTAAGCCGCTCATATTCACGTTTACTTTACTGCGTTTTTTCTTTCTACGTTTTATTTCGGAAAAGTCATTAAACCCCTTCTCTCTCTCTACATATATACGAAACCCCCTTCTCCAATAGGTGCTTCCCCTTAAACAAGCGTGAAATATATAGGCCGATGATTTAGAGTATACGCAGTGGAAATGTATTCTATCAGCTTACGCACGACGTCCGGTGTCACAGCGGATTTGGACTACATATCCGCTAGCTGGGGCCGGTTGTATAAAACTCTTAATCACTTTCTTAATCACTATTTGGTAGTTAAATAGTGATTAACCCTCAAATACGCGCTTCTTATTGGATGACGTTTGCACTTAATCATAGTTAACTTTAATCACTTTTTTATACAACCGGCCCCTGGTACTGTACCCCCTTCCGCGGAATTGGACGCCTTAACTACAGAAAAAATAATTTTTTCGATTTAAAGTGATATGGCAATAAAAATTAACTTTGTCTTATTTGAAAGAACTTTTAAAGTTACATATGAAGACTCTTTACTACTTTTTCGTACCTTGCTTGGTTTTCGAAATATTTTGACCAAAAACAGTGTGCAGTCCGCCATCTTGGTATTATAATTGACCAACCTCGTTCCCAGGGTCTTTAGGAAAGACCAAATTTCAGACTAGTCCCTAGTCCTCTGTGCACGCCTTTGTTTTCCGTGAACAAAATTTAGCTTTGGTGAAAGTGTCAAATTGCATGCTTCCAGTTAACGTCTGCGCAGGAGACTAGTTTCCAGTGGGATATTACGTTTCACAGTTAAAAAAAAGACTCCATGGAGAAACCATAGTACGTCATGAATAGTGTGCTGCCTCGGCAGCAATTAGTGTCAAAATATGGGCTGAGAGAAGAGCGTGAATGCTGCTTGCGGAGGCAATGGATGCTGAAGCTGCAGCGAACTTATATTTCGAGCACAAAATACCAGGCTAAGTTCCAGCCTCTCTTTCCAAAATGTGCAAGCTCCAGCACATCAAGGGATTGGACTGAAGCCGCTGCACAAAGCTCTGTGGTACTTATATTAATAACTATACTACTATACAGTAAATTTCAATTGCATTTACCAACAGAGATATGACAAAATAATCTCATACCTGCCACCTCCTGCTTTTCATGACGCAATATCCCTGTTTTGTTTCCCTACGACTCTTAATTTACCATCTGTAGCCTCTCCCACGACAAACCCTACTTTTGCCAGCTGACGAGTGTTTAAGGCAGGTCGCAGTTGTGTTAGTGATCTTATTACTTGTTGATAAGCCTGGATACATAAATATTATAGGGTATGTAAAGCTTTAATAGCCGGCTTGAACTAGGACATCAGCCAGGTGACAACACTCACCTAATTAATAAACAGGATTTTTTCTTTAGGCATATCCTTATCGGGTTTACATTTTCATGTGAGCCGATGTATTCGCGTCTATATTAGCTGCATATATTATATAACATCTCATTGAACCAATTGTGTCATTGAACCAATGACGTATCAACAGGGCCGTAACTTGGTTATTACGGGGGGGGGATGGAAAAATTTTCGGACATACAATTTTTCACTAACTTGCCGAAATTTGTTCAATTTTCAGTAATATTTTCGTAAATTTATCAAATATTTTCCTACAATTATTACTTTTCAAAAAATTATGTAAAATGTTTTGCTGAATTGCATATATTTTTGCCCGATCGACGAACGTCTCGTTAAAATTGCCCGACAAAACTGCAATATTACACCTCCCACCCCCAGGAGTTACGCCCCTGCGTATCAACGAATAACAAGCTTGAGATCATCAGCTAACTTATAATATATATAGGCTTGAAGAAGAAAACAGGCTAAATCAGTTAGCACAGGCTACTAGCAGTGCATTTAGAACGACAAACTATTGACTTTGAATAAGAGAGGGAATTCAGATGTGGATACCAGTTATAGCTTAGTATGTACTTCGACTATATAACCCTTTCAAATAATTTAATTTGTTATAAATAACTAATTTACTCCTTGTTATCACTAGATGCATGCATTATTATGATTTGCAGGACAAAATAATGGTAAGTTTTGCCGTTTGTTTAATCTCTCCCCCTGCCCCATTATGTGCTACTGTGTTTTTGAGTAAAGATCTCATGCTACCAATTTTTTTCTATAGTTTTGCAATTCTGACGGATGTGAATGGTGCCATGTTAACTGCTGGATGAAACCAAATGGTTGTTGCAGTCAAAATATAATACGAACATATTACATTGCATGTAATAGGATTGCAGCTTATCGATTAACAGAAATATTTATTCCTATATTAAAACAAGAATGCTGATTTACAAGATTGCAGTATATGGATATATTACATCTAATGCAATGGGATGGAATCTGCCATGTATTATTAAATATAAATTACCGTAATTAAATTTACTTGTTTCCAATCTACCATATGGTTGTCAGGAACATTGTATTGTATGTCAAGATCTTACATACCTGCAAGTAACCTAACAAGTTATTGGACAATAATGATGGCCAACAATGAACACTACATGCTAAATAAAGACGAGACACATACATATTGGATGTTCCCCCCAGCCATCACGAAAATCATTAATTGCACTCCTAGAGAGTGCAATTAATGAAATAATCATATAGAAGGCAAAATTACTCAAATATGATTGGCTAATGAGGAGGGCATTTTTTCTTAATTCAGGGCAAAATTACTTGTACCTGATTGGCTGAGACACAAGCGCGGGAAGTTTCTTGTTTTAAATAGCAATAAAAACAATGGCTTCTCGCTTTGTGACATTTGTCGTCGCTGATAATGATGTTATTGAAGAATGAAAAACTTCTAGCGAAAAATTGAACACTAGGAAAGGGTACAAATTTATTGGTTGGAGTATTTAAGAAATTGGCAGCCAGAGCAGCATCAAGAAACATCGGTGAAAAGGCGAAGACATGGAGACATACGAGGTTCAAGAACTTGACGAGTTCACAATTAACTTACGAATAAATTTTGCTCTTTATGATTAACAAGTAATCGCATAGTTCCTCGTAAAATTAAGGTTTAATTTCACTTGTGTTTTCAAAGTTTCACAAATTGTGACACTTTGAAAACACGCGTGAAATTAATTAAACCTTAATTTTACTCGGCCCCATGCGATTACCTATACTAATTGCACTCCTCTTAACCAATCAGATTGCAGTAATTTCGTCATGTACATAATAACACTAGTAATTATTATTGTCTATATAAATTGAAAGAAAGAAAGAACATTGAATGTGCATTAAATATTTGATATTTCAAAAGCGTTGTTATTTTGTCCTGATGTACAAGATAATTCATAGCTGCCTTCTTGACCAGAATTCAAAGTGATGTCACTCTTGGTGGTATGGCCAATACATCGACACAAACCAGACTTAATCCCAATCCTAAACTGTCTTCCCCACAACGCGTATATAAATGGATTTAAAGTCGAGTTCATTGAAACCAACACTATGGTGGAGTTGTGGAAGTGACTGAACAGTTTAGCTTTGCCATACTTCACTAATATTAAATTAATCTGAAATAAAAAAAATATATTATGGTAGTATTGTGGAAATGACTGAACATTCCAGCTTGGCCATACTTCACTAATATTAAATTAATCTGAAATAAAAATTACGCACTGGCAATGACTATACTAAAAATATTTAATTGATCAGAAATTGAAATTATGTATTATCAGTAGCTTTTATTATTGAGGTCGAGAGCAACATCTAAAAAACTATATAATTGCTGCAAAGAGTGGGTAAGAAAAAATTGGCCTACTTATCTATAATTTTTGGGTTATTGCACGTGTGATGGTAGATCCCTTTAGTCATAACGTTTGATATAAATGAATTCGGAAATATCTTGATTTTCAGAAGATATTCCGTAGCACTTAAGAATAAGCAGTGAGAGCAGAACTATAGGCAATAAGATGATAGCCTACATGTATAGTAAATTGCTATATCACTGTTTTCAGACAGGAATATGAAATACGTCTCTGATCTGTACAGACCTCCTAAAAACGGACGATGCCATCACAGAGACGAAAGTAACATTTCCGTATCAAACTCATGCACATCGTGACACGAATCATCCTCTTAATATTCATAATCTTGCTATTAGATTGTACGGAAAAGTTTTGCTTTTACCAATGGTAAAATATATTTTTTACAAGTAAGTGTCTGATTGCTTGATCTCTTGGTTGGTAATTGATTGGTTGATTTAATTGTTTAGTCGTTTTCCGTTTACTGTTCAGTAAACTTAACTAATTTATCGAATATTGTTATAGAAGGATCCACGGTATAATTGGCTGTAGCTGTTGCGGAAATCCTGCCTTGATTTCTGATATATATAATAATGCAATTTTTAATATTGTTACCCAAGGCAAAGTTAGGTAAATTAAAATTTATTTAAATTAACGTAGAGAAAAAGACAAGATATCCCACACTGTAAATGTAAGCCCTAACATCCCTATCTACCACGTGACGTCGTTCCATGTGCAACCCTTCCCTCCTACATGTTAAAAATGATAAACAAATTTGGAGTCAAGGAGTTGCTGAGATTATCTCGGAAGGACTGATAAGTTTGATAATTAACATTTAATGGAAGGAGGCTGAGAGTGATACGAAGAGTGGAAGCTTAATAACTTCTAAAAAGAGAAATTGATTACAATTTAGTGGACAGTTATTGAAAACATTGTTTGTAAAATAACCCATCAGTCCTCACCTGATTGGGTAACCAACAAGCAATCAATACAAGTGAGGCTGTCGCTGCCATCTTGGTAACATTTCTGATGGCCTGTTCTCTTTTGTTCTGGCCGTGGAACTGTTTGCCGGTTTGTATCATCTTGCGAACAGCACGAGCATACAGGACCAATATTATTCCAGACGGAGTAAAGAACTTGAGACTTACAGATAAAACTGTGATCAATCCAATAAAATCTCCTGTGAAATTATAAGACATAAATCAAGATTCATATATCCATGCAATTTGGATTTGGTTATTTTGTTCATCAGGCGTCAACCCCGCCCCACCATCCCGCCCCCCGCCCACTTTCTTTGTTTAAAATTTTACACATCTTTGGAGTTACAAGATGTGTGAAACTAATTGTAGCTTATTTATCCAATCATATTGGTTGGCTGATACTCCATCAACTTTACCATATTTCGGATGAAACCAACTGTACTCTTCAAGGATATGAACAAAATCGTGATTAATTTATATTTTGAGTTTTATAATAAGTTCCATCAATGACTTTGCAGCAAACATGGATTTTGAAAACATCAGCTAAGGAGAAAGTCATGTTCTTCAATTTCAATTCAATTTATTAAATTGCCACAAAAAGGAATTATTTACAAATGAAATGTACATTAATGAAAGATACATGTGACGAGGAAGCCCAAGTAGAAACCATAAGGCTCATTGCGTCATGGGCTTCCTTATTTATAACAAATATTACAATATCGAATTCACAGCTGTGCTAGTAGTCAGATAGACTTAAATAAATTTGGCATATCTGGGTTGGAGATCCAAGTATTAAAAACATATTATAGTCGAAAGAATGAGAAATTTTTTAATTTGAATAGGAATAATTGTTGAAGTTGCATACGAATATCGTTACTCAGTGTATTAAAAAAACTTGAACCTTGATAGGACACAGAGAATTGGCGTAACTTAGTTCTACACAATGGTACATATAACAATTCAGCTCTCCGCAAACCATAGTCATGCACTAGCTTGCTTTGTTCGTAACACCAGGTTGTCAAAGTTTCCAGGAAGCCTATTATTTATGTATAAAAACATGAAATTCCCCAGATTGTAAAAATAAATATCTTTGAACTTAAATAATCGATTATCTTTAAATAATGGATCAGTGTGGGCATCAAATTCTACCTTACTGATAATTCTTATCACCTTTTTTGGAGCAATTTGGAAGGGTATGTTGAACCCCACACTGTTACAATATTGTAAGTAAGGATAGTCAAGTACATAGTATATAGTGTACGTAGAGCTATCTTGGTGAGGCAAAAACTTGCTCGATATATGATACCAACCAAATGAGAAATTTTGCTAGCAATATGCGAAATGTGAAGTGACCAAGACAAGTATTCATCCAGGATTACTCCATCTCAAACTCATTAATAATTCATGAGCAAATTAGCGAATGAACTCACCCTAATTCGTCACATGATTGAGGTTGGATACCGCAAGGAAACACGTTAAAAATCATATACCATCACTGTTGTTAGATGAAAAACGGTTTTCATCTAATAACTGAGATCCTAATTACAAATTCAAGTCAAAACACAACAATATACTATAATAATATATATAAGCCAATGAAATGTTTTCGTTTGAGATGTTGTGTAAACAACTCGTTTCTCGTGTTTCATCAGGGGACCAAACACTCGAAAACAATAAAACACTCGCGCTTCGCGCTCGTGTTTCATACAGTTTTCTCGTGTTTGGATCCGCTGATGAAACACTCAAACACGTTGTTTACATATAACAAGAAAAACTATATGATCTGTACAATGTAGTTCATGATCATTTATATACAGCGGCAAACTAGTAATTTGTCTCTTTTGCCGCGGTCTAAAAATAATATAGTTTGACTTCTTTATATTTAATGATAGCTTATTGGCTTTAAACCAATCAGATAACTTATTATGTAACTCTATATATTGATGAGGTTGGTCAAGTTAGATATAGATCATGATGAGAAAAATAGACTGGTATTATCAGCAAATAAGACCAATTCCAAGGCATCTGAGACATTGCAAACATCATTAATATATACAGTGGCGGAAATCTTGGTGGGGCGGGGAGGCGGCCGCCCCCACCCCACCTACCGGAAAATTGACGAATTTTCGGAAATTTTGATCTAAAAGAGGGCTAAAAACAGTCTTTTCGAGTGCAAATGGGGAGGGTATGTCAGAAATTTGAAAGTTTTGTCGGAAATTTAGGAGGCTTTGCCCCCCCCCCCACCGGAAAAAGTGAATTTCCGCCACTGAATATATATCAGAAATAGTAATGGTCCAAGAACGGACCCTTGAGGTACTCCACACCTCCACGAGGACGTTACCCCATTGCATTCAACATGTTGTCTGTTTGAAAAATAATTTCTTAGTCAATTAAGTGCCAGTGTCCATAATGATTGAATTTTTCTTACCCCAATCATGTACATGAGCAGAACTAGTTTTTGAATTGCATGCCTTCTCCAACAAGGCAATGAGCCATGCAACTTAGTCGTTTCCTGAAATTATAAGCGAGAAAGAGAATTGTATTCCAGAGTCATTAATTAATTCTCGGAGACGTCTTATCTTTTTGAGTGGAATTCAAATCCCACTGCCGCCAGTAAATAGGTATTGGTAGCGAATATTCGCCAATTTAAGGACAGAATATTTTCGCAATAATCTGACGCTTACCTTAATTAAAGGGCATATGACTCGAAAATTGACGGTGTTATTTCTTAGTCTAATTTGAAAGATCATTGAAAACTGTAGAGTAACATATTTGACAGATTTGTGTTTTCTTGCTTCGTTTTGGAGATATTTCATTTTGTATGATATGCAAAGGATCAACATTCTACGTCACACATGCATAATGACTTACTTTAAAATGTTCGCTCAAAATGAATGATGAGCACGAGATTTGTCCACAACAACACCCATGTAGGTTTTCTACTGATTGTGTTTAGTCGTATTAAAGATATACCGTTTTTACTGCTAAATCATATGTGACGTAGGAAGTTGGTCCTTTGCACATCATACAAAATAAAATATCTCCAAAAACGAAGCAAGAAAACAAAAATCTGTCAAAGAAGTTACGCTACAGTTTTCAATGATTTTTCAAATTAGATAATAAAATAACACCATCAAGTTTCGAGTCATATGCCCTTTAATAATTTTAGGATGTCCATGCATGAACGCGAAGTCTGCGTAATATATATATATATATAGGCTATGCATGTATACTGTATATATGCTAATATGTAATATATATGCTAAAAACTCTTTGTCACAATGTCAATGAAGTTTTGTTCATCTCAAGCGTCAAATTTAGCGTTTTTACTCGAAGATAAATACAGTATTTAATCTTTAAAGGGCATGTGACTCGAAGATTGATGGTGTTATTTTTTGTCTAATTTGAAAGATCATTGAAAATTGTAGAGTAACTTCCTTGACAGATTTTTGTTTTCTTGCTTCATTTTGGAGATATTTCATTTTGTATGATATATGCAAAGGACCAACTTCCTACGTCACATATGCATAAAGATTTATCCCTAAAACTGTATATCTTTAATACGACTAAACACAATCAGTAGAAAACCTACATGGGTGTTGTTGTGGACAAATCTCGTGCTCATCATTCATTTTGAGCGAATTTATTTGATAGTGACAAAATTATATAACATTTTAAAGTAAGTCATTATGCATGTGTGACGTAGAAAGTTGGTCCTTTGCATATCTTGCAAAATGAAATATCTCCAAAACGAAGCAAGAAAACAAACTTAAAATCTGTCAAATATGTTACTCTACAGTTTTCAATGATCTTTCAAATTAGACTAAAAAATAACACCGTCAATTTTCGAGTCATATGCCCTTTAACATTGTCATAAGAAGATAAATATATTATTTTACCTTCAACTAGTGGTGTACCGATGCATTTTGCTGCTGTCATGTTTGAGGTCTTTGCTTGATATGTTCTCTCCACAGTACCAATACGTGACGTTCCAAATCCAAGTATCCATATCAGAACCAAATATTTAATCAAATGTTTGTTGGCAAATCTCATTCTATACTTCAACGGTCGACAAATTGCCGTCCATCTTTCAATAGTAAGGAACAAGCAAGTATAGAGTGATACAGCTCCGAGTGCAAAGAACAGCCAATAACCGGAAATAGTTTGGCAATAAAGTCTACCAAAGAATAGGTTGTTTGGAACTGTAGTTGGTTTGAAACTCAAGCCAGGAGCAATGAACATCAAAATTCCTGTTGTCAAGTCAGTAAACGCCAGGTGGAGGATAAACACGTTGTAAGGTTTCGTTAACCAAATTGTGTTGCGAAGAAATAAAATGACCACGCAAATGTTGGAAAGGACTGCGAGTGATGCAATCGGAGTCGCAATAAACTTCATGTATGTCATCTTGCAAGATAAAAATATTCAATTTGGCGCCTATAAATGGAGTTTCTAAAAGGAGTTTTTAAATAAATTTAGTTATATTGTTTTTATTGAGGATTTTTTTAACTGGCAACGTTAATCAGTATTTTGTAAATTGATTTTGCAAAGTGTATTATTGCTTTGTTTTCGTGGAGAATACAACGTTTATCACCCATGCAAAGCTATCTTATATAGTATATTAGTACGCTGAATTTTCATTTAAAAATATTAAAGGAGAGGGCAATATAGGTCAATATAAATTAAGTTTGTCTTATTTGAAAGAACATCAGGGCCGTAGCGACCGTAGCGACCCCCCCCCCCCGATAATTGCGCATTTGGGCAATTTCAGGTAAATCCAGGTAGATTTGCAGAAGAAATTCAGGTAAATGAACACAAATTCAGGTAATTTCTAGGCCCAGAGAAAGTTAATTTACAAAAATAAGTGTGAATTTGGAAAAGGAATGAGGTTAATTTACAAAAATTCTAGAAAAATTTTAGATGTTTGGAAAAATTTTTTTTACGTCACGAAAAATTTTGGTATGTCTGTAAAAAATTTTTGGACCCTAAAAAAAAATTTTTCAGGTAAATTTCGAACTTTTGATACTTTCAGGTAGATTTAACCAAACACCCCCCTGAAGCGAGTCCCTCGGGACGGCCCTGGAACATTTTTATAATGATATATAAACTTCCTTTACAATTATTCCGTATCTTGCTTGGTTTTCGAAATTAATATCATTTTAGTCAATGTACTCGATTCTGATTGGTTAAAAACCATGCCGATTAAAATTAAACATTAATCGCATAGGTGTGCCGATTAAAGGATTAATCGGCACGGATATACGAGTCCGCGTGCATATTAAGCACAAGATCTCAAAATATACATAAACAACTTGAAAATTTATAATTTCTATGTTTAAATATTAAAGATAATAATAATAATATGACTTTATTTATGCACGATGATGTTTAAAGCATAAGCTTGTGGGGTCGTGCACTTAGAGATATATACAAAAGTTATAAATTAGATAGAATTAATTACTATGAAAAGACAAAGTCTTTGAAGGTGATTGGTTTTATGGCCTTTTTTACGAAGGCGTTAACATTGTCATGTTCATCAATGTTTATTTCGCTATGTTTTTGATTTATATTCATTCCACAAGATTGCACCTCTATACGTTATAGAGAGCTTCAAAGTTTTTGTTTTGAAGCGGGTGCAGATAGTTGGTATTTGGCTCGTAGAGAGTAATTGCATTCTCGTCTGCTTACCAAGTCTGACATCGAGTTTGGTGTTACATTCTTAATTATTTTACAAATTAGTTTCAATATAGCTGTCTTATAGTAGAAGAATAATGTGTTCCAACCGACTTTGGAAAGCACATCTTCTGATGGCATGTGTCTAGGTAATTTGTATATAATTCTTGCAGCTCTACAATGCAAGCGTTCTAATGACTTGAAGTTTTCCTTGTTACTACATCCGCCCCAAACAACCAGTGCGTAGGTAATGCATGGAAGAATAACTTTAAAGTATAAATCTAATAGTATACTTGTCGGCAAAAACCTTGATGTTTTTACAAGATTTAATTTGTTAACATAGTTCAGTTTTAGTTCCGATAAATGTTCATTCCAGCTAAGATTCTCATCAATGACCATCCCGAGAAGTTTCGTCTTTTTTACCCACTTGATAATTTGATCTTCTAGAAAAACTGGGGCAAGTGGACCTATTATATGTTGTCTTGAGAGGAGCATCACTTCGCTTATTTGGGGATGTGGGGTTAGTTGGTTTGCTATGCACCACTCATAAAGTTCACTCAGGGCTTTGTTAAGTGTCGATACCACTTCGTCGGCTGAGTCTTCGATACAATATAACGTCGTATCGTCCGCGTACATATAAACATTTCCAGATTCTACATTTTCAGGTAGATCGTTTGTAAACAGTGCAAATAGGGTGGTGCCTAATACTGATCCCTGTGGGATTCCGTAGGTTATCTTCGCGATAGAGGATTCTTTACCATTTACAACTGTGTACTGCGTCCTGTCTCTCAGATAGCTTTTTAACCACATGGGCAGGCTGTCACCGATGGCAAAGTCGTGGGATACACTGTCAAATCTATAAATGCCACGGCAACTTTTAAGCTGGAATCAACTGCCTTCCTCCAAGTTTCTGTTAACGGTGAGCTAGAAGCAGTTCCGTAGAATAGCCACGACGATAAGCCCACTGTCGATCTGTCATTAACTGGTTTTCTTGGAAGACGTGTTTTACAATGGTGTTGTTTATCTCTTCTTCAAGGATCTTGCTCGGCACGCACAGTAGACTGATGGGGCGACAATTCGCTCTATCTTCTTCGGCCTCCTTTTTAAAAATCGGAGTTAATCTGGCAAGTTTCCAGCTTTCGAACATTTCTTCTGCCTGGGCGCTCCAAATAAATAAATCGATCAAAGATGGTATAATTGCATTTCCAGCTAACTTTAAGAGACTTGGGGATATGCCGTCCGGTCCTGTTGACTTTCTGGGTTTTATGTTTATAATATACCTCTGTATGTTATCTTGGATATGCAAATAGGGGCGGTCGTCGGGGGTCTAGGTAAAGAAAGAGCTAATGTTTCACCTCTCGTTTAAGTATCAATTAAATAGGTTTGATTTTTCTTCATCGTTCACTGCCAGGGTACCATTATCTCTCCTGATAGGTCCGATATTTTGGCGAACTTTTGGTGAAACGGATTTTTTAATCAAATCCCAATATGCTTTGGAAGTCGTTACCTCGCCGAACATGTTCGAGAAATAATCGACTTTTGCCTTTCTTAGCTCTGACGTAATCTCATTTCTTATGTTCTTGTAGTTGTTCCAATCTTCTGCGCATTTGGTTTTTATAGCTTTCTTAAAGAGTTTAAATCTCCTGTTTATTTTAAGTCTTATGGTGTTGTTCATCCAGGGTAACGACTTACTCCCTATTTTCACTTCTTTCCAAGGCGCATGGATGTCTTTGAACAGTTTTTCCCATGTCCAATCGTCAAATATTTCACCAATATGAAAGGGTGCTCTGGAGACATCTCTTTTGAAATTAGTTTCGTTCATCAACTTAAAATTCCTGCATCTTATTATAACTAGTGGTGGGGGCCTTTTGACTTTAAGCCTAAGCGTTGCGTATACGAGATTGTGATCGGATATTCCAAATGGTAGTCTCCTATCCAAATGGGAATACCCCTGACGATTAAATCATATCCATTCTTGTAGTAACAATGAGGTCAATTAAGTTTTCTGATGTTAACGTTATTCTGGTCGTTTCGTTTATTACATTATTCAAATCAAACATTTGAAAAATATTTAATAGTTTCTAGATAAAAAAGAAATAAAGATTATTCACAGTTTTTCACAGGTATGAATTGAAAATTACTCTCAAAATTGACAAAGGCGTGTATGGCTGGTTAACCCCCCCACCCCCTCTCCACCCCCCAACTTTTTTAGAATTAACATATTCGGAAAATCGGGTTCGGAAAATTACGGCAATAATAGTATAGAATAATATAGTTGTTAAACAGAGAAAATATTATAGAATTGTATTGTCAGTATAAACTGATTTACGAAATCATGGCATTTATATGGATAACAATTTACAAATCATAAATCGGTAAATGTTTTTCGGTTAATTACTCAATGGCTATGGCTATGCGTAAAGTATGCGTATTTTTGTTTATTTGGTCTTCATTTTCGCGATAGCAAACACCTTCGTGGCTATGATCGTATGCCATGAATGATACGTATGCCATGAATGATCCGAACCCCCCCCCAACATGCTAGCTACGGCCCTGTACTCAACCTCGTTCCCAGGGTATTTAGCAACTACCCTGGGTACGAGGTTGCCCTGCACTTATGTTACAAAAGGAAACAACGAATATTACAAAAAGGACACTACTTATGTTACAAAAGGAATATATAACTGGAACTCTACCTTCAGATAAACTGCCTATCTTTATCATGAAGCCAAAATCTGACTCCCCACGTGTGTCTGGGGGTCAAGACGCGCGTGTTTATGCCTCCACTGCCCAATTCATGGAGCGAGCATGCCGTTTTACTGAAAGAGTGTAATGCATGCTATAGTAATGTACGTCTATTAATCATTATCATTCACTTTATAGTATTCTCAATTTTGATTGGTTAATTTACCTGCAAATAACTGCGTGCAAATAATAGTCTGAGCATGCGCATTTGTTAGAAACGTTGCTCAGCTACAAATAATAGTTTGAGCATGCTCGTTGCCTTCAATTTTTGTAAACAATGGCGGCTCGCTTTGCTGAACATTCGGAAAATGAGTTGTCTTGCTTACTTGCCTGCCTGAAAAAGCAACTAAAACCGCCGTCAATGTCTTTCGCCAGCATTTAGAAGCAAGATAAATCAACGAAGACGATCTATAGTTGGCTCAAAACTACAAAAGAATCTCTTGCCAACGTCCTTCGCACGTTTTACGCAGAAGCAAGAAAGAGAGACGGCGAACTTATATTAAAAGATAAAATGAAGCTTTATGATATATATTATGAATGATAAAACAATTATTGAACTCGGTTCTCGCAAAATATCGTGATTTGTCGGTGGCTCGCAGATCAATTATTTGCCTCTGCCTTCGGCATCGGCAAATAATTGATCTGCTCGCCACCGACAAATCACGATACTTTGCTCAACCTCGTCCAATAATTGATAATTAACGCACGTATTACGATTAGTTTATATTTGGAGTATAACATTATATATTCAGTTGTTTACATGTAGCCGAGATATCAAGAAGTCTATTAAATATCAGAACATTATAATGGCACGAAGATAAACGTATTCTATTAAACGAAACGATGGTGGAAGAGCAGGCAGAGCCTCAACCACTGCAGCAACCGGCTGTACAGATCATGCAATCTGTAACAATAACTCCAATGCCAGAATTTTGCCCAGATGCAAAAATCGGAACAAGCCTTTCGACAAGATGGAACAATTGGCAGTCAGACTTTGAAATGTATATAACCGCAAGTGGAATAACGGATGCAAAGCGAAAACGTGCACTCTTGCTATATCAAGCCGGACCGAGAGTTCGCGAGATTTTTAAACAAATCCCCGAGACAGGAACTGATACGGACTACAACATCGCAAAACAGAAATTAAAGGCTTACTTCGACCCTCAAAAGAATCGGCGGTACGAAGTTTATCGTTTTCGACAAACAACTCAAGAACACAATGAGACATTAGACCAATTTCACACCAGACTTAGAACAATGTCAGAAACCTGTGAAATCGCAGACGTTGAATTTGAAATCGAAGAACAAATCATTATATTTATAGGCGGAAATTCATCGAAAATACGAAAGCTAGCACTGCGTGATCCTACATTTGACTTAAAATCAATGCTTTTAGAAGGACGTCGTGACGAACAGAGCAAGTACCAAGCTCAAAAAATCGAATCTAAAGAACAAACTGACGGTGAGGCTAATAAATTAGAACAAAAATCAAGTAACGGTAGTATTTCGAACAGTAGTAATGTTATTTGCAGAAATTGTGGGCGTGCTTATCCAAACACAGGGGCATGTCCAGCGAAAGGGAAAACCTGTAATAATTGTTATTGTGGAAAACCGAATCATTTCGCTGCTGTTTGTCGAGGAAAACAAAAACAAACGCGATCACCGAGATACTCAAACAAAAAGCATGCACAAAGAAATTTAAAAACATTAGATACAGGATCAAACTCGAGTTCCGATGAAGACTATTTATATACCATGACAAATACAAAGCACAACAAGGTCAATGTTACAGTAGGCGGTGCCAAATTTCATCAAACAACAATTGACAGTGGCGCGACAATAAATGTGATCGATCGTGACACTTTTAACAAAATGCAAGACATAAAATTAACTCGCACGAACACGAAAGCTTTCGCGTATAATACGAAATCACCAGTTGAATTTTTGGGAAAATTCGAAGCGGTAATCGAAACACGAAAACGAATATCTGTAGCCACATTCTATGTCGCTAAAGCTGCGAACTGTGGAAACTTACTTTCTCTTTCTACTGCACAAGAACTCGGACTTATTAGTCTGCATTTAGACAAACTGACATCAAAGGATGCCGCACTAGAAAACATCCTTCAAAAGCATTCTAAAGTTTTTTCGGATCTTGGAAAATTGAAGGGAGAAAAAGTCAAACTAGATATAGACAAAACTAAAATTCCGAAAGCACAACCCCAAAGGCGCATACCCTATCACATTCGAGAAAAAATGAAAAACGCGATAACTGAATTAGAAAATCAAGATGTCATTGAAAAAGTGCCCGAAAATGAAGCTACTCCTTGGGTTTCACCCATTGTAGCTGTTCCCAAAAAAGACGGACAGGTTCGCATATGTGTCGACATGCGGCTCGCAAATGAAGCTATAAGACGAGTATACGCCATCCTATACCAACAGTAAATGATGTTAGTTTTGCCCTGAATGGAGCAAAATTTTTCTCGAAACTTGATTTGAGCCAAGCGTATCATCAGTTAGAACTGGATGAACAGTCTCGTTATATAACAACCTTTAGCACTCATGTAGGTTTGTATCGCTACAAAAGACTAAACTATGGTACAAACGCTGCAGCGGAGATATTTCAGTACAAAACTCCAAACTGCACTGCAAGGGCTTAAAGGCGTCAAGAACATAGCTGATGATATCATTGCATTCGGCTCAACAAGAACTGAACATGACGCTAATCTTGACAAATGTCTACAACGACTTGCAATGAAGGGCTTACGACTAAACCGAAGCAAGTGCAGTAATTTCCTTAGCACTACATTGTCATTTTTCGGACAGGTCTTTTCGAAAGAAGGTACTCATCCTGACCCTAGGAGAGTAGCTGATCTATTAAATGCACCTCAGCCAAATAATGCACATGAAGTCAGGAGCTTTCTTGGCATGGCCAACTATAGTAGTAAGTACATTCGAGATTTCGCAACACTAACTGCTCCCCTTCGTGACCTGACGAAAAAGGATGTTTGTTTTGAGTGGACTCAAACACACCAAACTGCTTTTGAAAAGCTGAAAAACACGCTTGCAACTGCTCCATGTATGTCATATTTCGACAAAAACAAACAAACTTTTGTAACAGTTGATGCTAGTCCTGTAGGAATTTCTGGAATTCTTCCTCAGAAACCAAGAAACGGCGACGTAGACAGTCAATAGATTATTGCATATGCCAGTCGAGCGCCGACTGATACAGAAAAGAGATACTCCCAGACAGAAAAAGAAGCGTTAGCGATAGTATGGGCGGTTGAACATTTCCATTTATTTTTATTTTTATTTGGAAGTGAATTTACACTAATAACTGACCATAAACCTTTAGAAATTATTTATGGCCAACGTACAGCCAAAACATCAGCGCGAATTGAAAGATAGGTACTTCGCCTCCAACCATATACATTTAAGATAATTTATAAATCAGGTGCCAGCAAGCCTGCGGACTATCTCGCCCGTCATCCAACAAACAAAAGCAATTAAACGAAAACAGGAGAAGATGACGGAACAATATATTAATTTTATAACTCAGAACAGTGTCCCTAAGGCGATGACATTACAAGAAATAATCAATGCAACTAACGCAGACGCGGCACTAACAGCACTCCATGATGCGATTAAAACAAACAAATGGGATTCCCCAATTGTAAAACCGTTCAAAGCCGTAAAAAACGAACTTACGTCTACCACACACGGTGTTATACTTCGAGGAACACGGATTGTCATTCCTGCTGCTCTACAACAACGTACAACCATATACATTTAAGATAATTTATAAATCAGGTGCCAGCAAGCCTGCGGACTATCTTGCCCGTCATCCAACAAACGAAAGCAATTAAACGAAAACAGGAGAAGATGACGGAACAATATATTAATTTTATAACTCAGAACAGTGTCCCTAAGGCGATGACATTACAAGAAATAATCAATGCAACTAACGCAGACGCGGCACTAACAGCACTCCATGATGCGATTAAAACAAACAAATGGGATTCCCCAATTGTAAAACCGTTCAAAGCCGTAAAAAACGAACTTACGTCTACCACACACGGTGTTATACTTCGAGGAACACGGATTGTCATTCCTGCTGCTCTACAACAACGTGCAATAGATATAGCACATGAGACACACTTAGGAATAGAGAAAACGAAGTCTCTAATTCGTGAAAAAAATCTGGTTTCCGCAAATTGACAACCAAGTCAAAAACACAATTGCTAAGTGCACCACTTGTCAAGCTGTCGGACAGGCGAATCCTCCAGAACCATTACGTATGACCGAAATGCCAGAGTTACCATGGAGAACTGTCCACATAGATTTTTATGGTCCACTACCATCGTCTGAATATATTTTAGTGGCGGTAGATAGATACTCCAGATTCCCAGAGGTTGAGATCGTTCATTCAACACGAGCCTCAACAGTCATTCCAAAACTTGACAAAATGGCATTCCTGACACCATTATATCTGACAATGGTCCCCCTTTTAATGGAGACGAGTATGCACGATATCTGAAAGCACTTGGTATTCAAGCTAAGTTTTCAACACCCTACTGGCCCCAAGGTAATGCTACAGTTGAACGATTTATGCGACCGTTAGGAAAAGCGCTCAAGACAGCGACACTCGAAGGACGACCATGGAAACAAGAATTGAACCGTTTTCTTTTACAATATCGTACCACTCCACATTGCACTACAGGAGTACCTCCATCAGAACTGTTGTTTAACCGAGTGATAAAAGGAAAATTACCAGTAATAAACAGCAAGATTGTCAATCGACATAAAGAAGCTCGAGACAATGAGAAAACACGACAAGAACGAAACCGAGAATATGCAAATCAAAGGAGAAACACAAAAAAAGTGATCTACAAGTTGGAGATTATGTACTGGTTAGACAAGAAAAGAAAAACAAGCTAACTGCGAATTTTAATCACAAACCGTATAAAGTGATAAAGAAAACTGGTTCAGAGATACTTGCCCAAAGTAAAGATGGTCATATTGTGAAACGGAACGTGTCACATTTCAAGCGAATAAATAAACCACGAGAAGAAGACACTGATGATGAAGGTTTCGATTATCAAGAAAACTCGCAGGACAATCAGCCATTCATCAGTAATGAAAACAATGTAGCACCAAGAAGATCAAGCCGAATTCGAAGACCACCGAATCGATACGGACATAAATATCCATAAAATCTAATAAACTAACATAACAATGAAATAGCTGAATAACTTCAAATTTAATTTAAACACTTTGATATTTGACAATCAAGTTAAAACAAAGGGAATGGTATAGTAATGTACGTCTATTAATCATTAACGCACGTATTACGATTAGTTTATATTTAGAATATGGACATTATATATTCAGTTGTTTACAACTTTACATGTAGCCGAGATATCAAGAAGTCTATTAAATATCAGAACATTATACATGCCATGCAATGTTGGCAAGATTTACATTATATGAGAGAAAAAAGTTCCTTTTTAGAAACAAATTAAGGTTCTATGGTTATTCTATACGAGATTCTATAGCTATTGGTAGCGTTTTATCATACAAAAAATATGGAAAAAATGGCCTCGGGGTCGATCAAAATATTCTCTTTTATTTATTCAAGTAAGTTACAACTATTCTGTTATATTAAAAAATAGTCTTGTTTTGAAAAAACAAGACTATTTTTTACAATAATTGCTGTATGTTTTAATAAAGGTATACATCAGTTTATTTCCGTGAAATTGGTTTGATTAACAGAATAAATCAGAGTGAAAAACGAAAAAATAATCAAAACATCCAAGCCAAAAGTCGTTACGGTGCTTCCAATTTGAAAAACTAAAATATCCTTTTTCCATCCCAATTTCGACCGAAATTTCCTTGCGTAAAATACTAAAATTTCCTTCAAATTTGCTTCAGACGTTTTCCAAGCTATTTACGTAAAAATTCTATTAACTCGATCGTTTTTCGTACAATACCTTACAGTGTCGCAACTCGCAAGTACAACTAACACATAAACTGAGTCAATAAGACTAAAAACGTATAAATACGTAATCATGATGAAAATGTAGTCATGTTGGCACTTGACTTCGTCTTGCCTGCAATATCCATCATTCGTTTACTAGCTGGCAGCCGCGATGTGTCCATTCTTCATTCTCATCTTAGCCTGAAGTAAGCGAAACCAATGACGTTGATTTCAACGAATTCCGTTGACCCGTTTTAACAAGCTTAAGCTAACTAAAAATTCTCTCGACCGACGCATTTGAAAACGGCAATGAAGCCGCAATTATGACCACAAAGCCGATCAGGACTGAGTATTTTGGGTCACCTGTTGGGGTCTTCGAGTCCCGTACGTTCAACCAATAATTATCCCAGAGAAGCTCAGGGTTAGCCTAATCCTCAAATGCGTGTTGTCTCCACTCCATAATGAAGCTTGTTGATGTCGATGGTAACTTTCAGGAAGCTAGGGTAATTTCTGACAAATGCTCTACAATGATCGAGGCGTAAATGCAGCGGCATTGGACGACAATGCACAATTTAATTAACTGGATTATCTATGTCGAATCGCTTTGTATCTGAAGAATGCTCTCAATGAAAACGTTCTTACATTCCGTTAGGAACTTAACAATATCTTCTTTCTCTGCCCCGTTCTCAATATCGTTAAGAGTGGCAGTTGCTGCAAAGCCAATGTAGGTCTGGTGCAACGGTACATGATGTTGGACGTCAGTTCATGGGTCAAGGTCCTTTGGCTGCGTGGACCTTACGACATTGATTTTCATAAAATAACTGGCAATGGAATTGATATATAAGGCTTTCCGCCTCTGGCCTCAACATGTGAAGGAGAGGACGTTCACTATGGAACAATCGATTAATTAAATGCATTGAGACGTTCGAGTTGGTAAGTTAAGAACTCCAAATACATCTGTATGAAACGATTCCGTAGTGACACCAAAATGCGATCGTTCGAGTGAGATGGATCTTCGTTGGCTGTCAAGGCTTTAACGCTTTAAACTGTTTAAGTAGTCGGTTAATTAACGCACTCTTCCAAAGAAAGCGGGAGACAAAAGTTTTAGGGGTTCAATATAAAAAAGGTTTGAAACTGTTTATGGACATTTTGTTTTGAAGATCGATGAAAATGCGCGTAAACATCCTTGCACAGATCCTCTACACTCTTGGGTAGTTTTAACGCAGCATATGATGATACTAGGTAGTTAAGGTGACAGGGACACTTCACGAGTTGAACGTAGCTAAATTCTGATTTGAGTAGTTGAGAAACTGAGTTGAGTGTATTGTCCGAACATCACATTTGTGGTATCGGTCGAGTAACCTATTATGTTTCTCAAAAGTTTCCTTCATCTTTGCATTGATCCCAGCGGCACTACTATTGTCCGTATCCGCCATATCTATTCCACCTGTTCAGACCCAGACCGGATCAGTTGACTGTGGATTAATTGTTTGCTATCGCTTTCGCGTACGAATTAGCAGTTGGAAAACAGCCAGTGCACGATGTATGCGCTTTGATCAAAAGAGAATGAGGAGCCATCTTCTCTCCTGTTTTGAGAATAGAGAATTGACCCACTTCCCCCAAGCACGTCGACGACTGCCTCCGCCGCAGGCCCTCGTTGCGTCATGGGAAGGTCACGATCTGGCGAGGGCCTGCGGAATCTTGTAAAAAAAATGGCGCCGGCGTCACGTCAGCAAGTAAATTTCTACATAATCTTGAATATAAACAGATATGAAAAAGCGGCGTGAAACTTGTAAATTAAACTGGCGACTCTAAGGACGTGGAAGGACGCACTTTTTAACGATAAGGTTTGTTGTCCACACCAACGTTGCACGAATAAAACTGCCTTCTTTAACGAAGCAGGTTCAAAGCATTATTTATTCATTTTACAAGATTCCGCAGGCCCTCTCGAAATTGCGACCTTCCCATGACACAACGAGGGCCTGCGGAGGAGGCAGCGTCGACCGTATGACAATATGATTTCATGTGATCTCTGTGAGCAATAAATCGCATTTCAAAGCTATTTTCAACTTGCAATCGTTTTGTTTTTAGATCAAAATTGATATGGGTGGGGAGGACGATATTCCTAGGAAATTCTCCCTCAGGGGGTCGATATTCCTAGGGATTTCGCCCCGGTCGAGATCGAGGTGGGGGGAGAAGCGAATCTCCTTAGGGGGGGGGGCAATCTCCTGCGGGGGGGCGAAAATCGTGTGACAACGGGACTGGAAACTTTATATTAGTATTTAGAGCTACATGATGATTCCTTTTGGACGAAACAGGTTGTAGTGGCAACCTTTTGGGGGTAATAAAAACTGTATTTGACAATTATTTTCCGAAGTGGAGGTGAATAGTGCAAGTATATTCACGGAAATGTGAAGCGTTGAGACCAAATAAACAAGTAATTGGGAAAATATTTTTAAAACAATTTGTATTTCAGCTCCCGTAATAGTTGTAAACAAAACAGTATTTACACGCAGAATACCTCCACACACGCTGTTAAACAAAACTTTGTAGCTTTCTTCGCGTTTGGCGAAGCCAAACCGCAGCTTCGTTTAGTAGAAAAAAAATGCTTGTCTGTCACAAAACGGGAAGCCATTTTGGGGTTTTTTCCGGAGGTGAGTAGTGCAAGGAATGAAAAGCACTATCCATGAGGTGCACCTCCCGAGTATATATGCTAAATATATCATATTCTGCGGTGTGAGAGAGATCGTACAAATGCCTGAAAATCAACGTTGTGAGAGAAGATCCTTCGTCGGGAAGTTACTAGTGTTAATTAAGGTTTAGCTTGATCAATGCACAAACGTAGTTAAATCGATATCACGATTCACATTATCTCATAGATCTAATGCTAAAAAGTTATAAAGGATTTTTAAGACCATGAGTAATGTTTTCCGGCACAAAAACAAATCATCTGATTTATAATCATTACATAGAATATGGGCACATCTGCTTTTAAGTTTGAGTGAAGATAAATTACACATACACAAATACTTCATGATGTATATTAAAAAGATGAATAAGACTACGTTCACACTACGCTGGAGCAAAATATGACGCTACCTTTTACGTGTGTTCACACTACGCCGATTCGCTGATACAGTTTGTTTACACATTAACTTTGCACTTATGTAAACCCAAAATATTTCAAATAGAGCAAAGAAATTTAAACGAAAAACATTCGAATTTATTGTTTTAAGACCTGAGATGTTTGGTTTGCAAGCGGTACAAAACACGGAAACGGCGTTTGCGTTCACGCGACGGCTAATTGTGACTTTTTCAAACCGCTCCGGCGTATAGTGTGAACGTCATTTAAAAGTGACTGACTTACCAATGGAGTAGTTTGTGTAATAGATATAGCGCGTACAGCATGATGTATATTAAAGGGGATGAATAAGACTACGTTCACACTACGCTGGAGCAAAATATGACGCTACCTTTTACGTGTGTTCACACTACGCCGATTCGCTGATACAGTTTGTTTACACATTAAATTTGCACTTATGTAAACCCAAAATATTTCAAATAGAGCAAAGAAATTTAAACGAAAAACATTCGAATTTATTGTTTTGAGACCCGAGATGTTTGGTTTGCAAGCGGTACAAAAAACGGAACTTGACTTTTTCAAACCGCTCCGGCGTAGTGTGAACGTCGTTTAAAAGTGACTGACTTACCAATGGAGTAGTTTGTGTAATAGATATAGCGCGTACAGACTGAATACCACTGTTTTATTTGACTTGTCTATTGAAGATTGCAAGTTATTACTGTTAAATCTAACGATTTATATCAACATGATGAGACAGTAACGTCTAATGGTGCATGCGGTTCTTTATATGTTTGCTTTAACTCATGCTCACCGCATGAACTGGTTGTCAGATTTGATTGGGAATGATCTCGTATGCATACACCTGCTTTAAGTTGTTCATTTGTCTCATTATGTGAGACTTAATTATTTTTTGTGAGATGTATCGTATACAATATACTTTTTCAATATATATGATAATAGAAAAGTAAATTAGAGGAAAAAGGTGTTCAACGTTTCTGATATTGAATTGACCGCGCCTAAATGTCAAAAACTTGTTATTACACTCATGAAAAATAGGCACGCAGTGCGTACCTGTGGCTAGCCTGGTAAACTTCAATAGTAATATGAAATAATATATACAGATACAATAAAATGTTACATCAAACTACAGACAAGGAGATCCATAACTTACTATATTTTTTACAGTGCCTGCAACAGTTCGGGTACAGTTACTAGATTTCAGAACAATAGTTTATAGCAAAGGAGCAGCCAATAATATTGGGGCCGCCAGTTTACTAAATAAGCACATAGCTAGTGAGAAAGAATTTGCTCCTTCCTAATATTTTCGGGGCTGTCAGCAATCTCGTTCGCCGAGCATGGCCGTTCGCAGGTTAAGGGCGGGCATAGTTCTGGAGAAATCGAATTGATTCAGGCCGGTGATTGGCTAGCGGCAGATAGTATACGTTGGATTTCCAACGTGAGTTCTACGCATGCTTGGCAATTGTTACAAAATATAAACAAAGTATTTAGAATTTTCTCGTCGAAAATTTGATACTTTTTACACTGCAAAATCGATTGAAAACAACTACAAATTCTGGGGGAAATATGTACGAAAGCTTCGGATTCATAGGGATACAACTACCTGAAAAATACAAGGAGAACTTCGACATTTCGAGCGAACGCCCTTAGACTTGTCAGCATTTATGGTATACGTAGTGTTAGGTCCACACTGGCACAGCAAACATTCTCTCATTATTGAGGAGATTATATTTATCTTGAATACCGACAGTGTAAAAGATAAACTGGTAAAGTACGATATATACAATTACAAACACTAACATAGCAGTACAAGTCGAAGCGCCTTGAACCCTTCGCTCGAAACGTCGAAGTTCTCCTTGTATTTTTCAGGTAGTTGTATCTCTATCAATCCGAAGTTTTCGTACATCCCAGACCTTTTACTTGTTTTCAATCGATTTCGGTGTAAAAAGTATCAAATTTTCGACGAGAAATTCAAAATACTTTGTTTATATTTTGCAACAATTACCGAGCATGCGTAGAACTCACGTTGGAAATTCAACGTGAATCAATTCGATTTCTCCAGAGCTATGCCCACCCTTATATTGCGAATGGGCATGCTCGGGGGACGAGATTGGGCTGTCAGTTCATTGCTTTCTTGAATTTCAGTGTAAAATATAGTAATGGTATAGTAACACCTGTATTGTTCAATGTTAATGCTTTCTTTTTTAGCATCCTCTTCGAAGGGCATGTCGACTGACAACCCACAGTCATTCATTAAGATATCATCCCCTAAGTTTTTTGTCACCAATTTGTCTTCTACCATTTGGTTTAAAGGTCATTGGCTGTTGCATGGCATGCTTGCATTAACATGGAAACTATATGGGAATGGGTATAGGAAATTAACTTTTGCTCATAATTAGAGCTTAAAAATTCCAAATTAAAAAATGGGTATCCCACACCGATTCCTCATTCCGTTGGGGAGTGAAAAATTCCATATTCTTTGAAAAAGGGAATTTTCCTCGCTAGCCAAATTGAGTGTTTCATTCATGAACGTGCATGCATGTATTGCAACAAAAAAATGATATTCTTGGACAATGTGTTCTAAACACATAAAGCTGTTTTTCATACACTTAGGTTAATATGAAACTTTGAAGGATAATAATGTTCGCACTTTCTTTTATTATGCATAAAAGGTGATAATTAAACATCGAATTTCTTTATATCAGCATAAAACATACATATCAAAAACTACAAAGACAAAATTAATGTGATATACTGACACTGGTCTTGTATAATGTTTATAATATAAAGAGATCTTTTGGATCTTTATGTGTAGAAAATGTAGGACATCTGCAAAAGCACATTGCATGCATTGTACAAAAGTATACTTCTATAATATCTAAAATCTGCATGCAACCGAAACATCCATGATGGCAAGATTTCAACGTAATAATTAATATGTCCATAAATATAATATAACTGCATCATGTATATATGGAAATCGCGGGAAATTTCTCACAGCTATGATTTTAAAACGTATATTAAGCAAAACAATTCAGTTACACGCGCTGTAATCGAACGTGTGAAAATACAAGACAAAGAAAGCGCAAGTATCAGGATTTTTGGGCATCTTATTCGATTGAACTAAATCAATGTTGAAGGACTTTTTATAGAAAATTTGAGTGTAAGTTTTATACATTTATCTTGGCCCATCCAGGATCAGCTGCGATAAATGAAACTACAGGCTCTCTGGCAGGAATCAAGCCTGCGTCGCTGCGAATTATATACGACGTTTAAATGACGAAAAAAATTATTGTGAGCTGTTGATACCGATCGGGCAATTTCCATCAACGCGCCATGCAGGCAAATTTTTGTCCGCCCACCTATTTTTTTTCCTACAGTACACTCTTTTCTATCCGTCGAATATCTTTGCAATCCTCAGGTATATGCACGTATTAGTTTTAATTCATTTGTAGTAGACTATACCAAACAAAGTTTTTTATTGTTATTTTTATTTGTCGATCACTTTCACAAAACATTAACAAACGCCTGGCAATTCTTTGTGTGTTCAAAAGTTAAATTATTTTTTCATATCAAGATACTCTAAGGAGCGTTAAGTATTTGGCATTATACTTATGGAATTGTCAGCTCATATATAGGGGCGGCATGCACAGTGCATGTGTCTACGCAAAAACCTTTCATATTTGCACCATGCATAAGAATTACTTAGGATGGTTTTCAGCATGCAAATTTAATAAGAAAGGCTGAATTTTGATGCCACATTTTGCTGAGTGTTGATGGAGCCATGCACATTTTGCTGTTAGAAAGCAAGGAAGACTGAGTTTTGAAAGCAAAGAAAGACTGAGTTTAACAAGGTATGCTATAAACGCGTGCATGCATGCAGAGTGGTTTTTTCGATACATTTAAAAATACTTTTAATTTCCTTTCAACTTCTCTTACAGCCACTCAATTAAGAACAAGTAATTAATTCATAATAATTTTAAATTATGAAAGCAAAAACTCCGCATTGTGTATTTATTTTTTCTCGAAATTCGACGTAAAACTTTTAGATTTTGCGAATTATGAAGTCATACGCCCGTATTCTAAAAGCCCACTCACACTCACACTCAATGAGTGGAGGTTCAATCTGAGCTTCCCTTGAGTGTCAATGCTGTTTTTGAATAGCTGGAGGGTGAGTAGTCACATAGTACGGTACGGCACTAACCCTCCAGCTATTCAAAAACAGAAATGGCACTCGAGAAAAGCTCCAATTGAACCTCCACTCATTGAGTGTGAGTGAGCTTTTAGAATACGGGCGATAATGTTCCACAATGGGGAATTTTAGAAAAAACTGTTTACAATCAGTTAATTTCGTATATAAATGAGAACAACATTCTGTCAGGTAACCAATTTGGATTTAGAAAATCTCATTCAACTGTAACGTCGTTATTAAATGCTACAAGTAATTGGCTCCTAAATATTGATAAAGGTCTTATAAATGGAGTCTTGTTCCTAGATCTACGGAAAGCATTTGACACTGTTGATCATATAATCCTAATTGAAAAGCTAAAACTGTATGGAATTACAGGGGGTGCCTTGAATTGGTTTATATCATACTTAGAAAAAAGATATCAAACATGTAAAATAAATAACGTTAAATCATCCAGAAAATTAATTAAATGTGGTGTTCCCCAGGGGTCAAACTTAGGACCCCTCCTATTCTTATTATATGTCAATGACCTGCCAAATTGTCTTGATCAGGCAAAACCTTCTATGTTTGCTGATGATACTAATATCTCCGCATCTGCGGAATCCGTAGATGAATTGGAGGAAAAATTGAACACCGATCTTAGTAATATCTATCAATGGTTAGTGGCAAACAAATTAACACTTAACGTTTCTAAAACAGAACATATGATTATTGGCTCTCGAAATAATCTAAGTAAGATTAATGTAGATCCGACAATTAAAATTTGCGGCGAATCTATTAATAGAGTTAAAACAACAAAAAGTCTTGGCGTGGTCATTGACGATAAGTTGAAATGGGAGGACCACATTGACAGCATCAGCAAAAACGTTTCAAGCGGAATAGGAGCGATAAACTTGATCAAGCCTTATGTTCCAAAGGATTGCCTAAATCAGATTTATAATGCTCTTGTGCAGCCATATTTTGACTATTCCTCTCTAGTATGGCAAAATTGTAAACTAGAGTTGCAATTGAAACTTCAAAAGCTTCAAAATAGGGCAGCAAGAGTTATAACTGGAGATAATTGGGAGATTCGTTCAAAAGATGTTCTTAGCAAACTGAATTGGCAACCACTAAACCAGATAAGATTGGTTAAGACGCTCTTGTTTATGCGCAAAATTCTAAAAAATGAAGTTCCTACATCAATATCAGACCAGTTTCACATTTCAGTAAACGATCAATATAATCTACGCAGTAATTTTACTATGCTGAAACTGGCAAAACCAAGAACAAATGCACTGAAGCGAAATTTTAGCTACCATGGTGCAAAAACTTGGAATAATTTGCCAACTGAATTGAAAAATCTCACGATCTCCGAGAGAGTTTTCAAAAATAAATTACAAGATTTCATTCGCGAAAATAATTCATTTTTGAACATTTTTTCAAGTTGCCAGTGACTGCTATAAAACATCTTTTTCAATAAACTGTTACTAGAGTGTATGTTTTTGTCGTTTTTTTATGGAATATTATAAATGTAATAATGTCCTGTTTATGCATGATATTTACTATAATTTAGTAAATTGTTGTTCTACTGCTTAGCTTAAATTTCTACACGGCCTTATGAAAAGCAAGAAATAGGTTGATAAGCTACCCTGTATAAAGAATTTTAAATAATAATAATAACAATATTCCTCGGTTCAGAAAAAAAGACGAGAATCTGCGTGTTATGAAGATCAGAATATCTGCATTGCGGATTTAGCTTTGTATTCAATACAGCAAATTATTTAACAAATTGCGCATTATGAAGCGCAAAATATATCCGCAATAAGATTTGTTTTCCAGCTCATTTCAGCTAATTATAAATTTATTAAAATTTGTTATATTATAACGCAAATGATTCAGCCACACTTAGTTGTTAGGATTAAGTTGCAAACAGGGCCGTAGAGAGGGGGGTATTGAGTGCGGCAACCCCCCCCCCCCCGCCAACCTTTAGACTATTCGGCAAAGTTACAATCCGGACCGCATTTTCAGAAAATTTATGAAAATATTACTATTATTAATATGGGGGTTATAGTGAAAAATGATATGTCGGGAAAACTTTTCGCTCGCCAACAATTTTGGAAAAAGAAATATTAATTAAGTAGCGACTGAAATGTTGTCGGCCGCAAATGCGATCTGCACCCTGCCCAACCTGGTTGCGAATTCAGTAACAAAGGCCAAAATATCCGCAATGCGGATTTAGTTTTCCACTCTGAATACAGCCAATTTTTTCACTCATGATCTGATTTGTTCCAAATTACGCATGCAGATCGAAGAACAAAATATTCGCATATTGGTGTACCTTCGAAAGACACGTACCGATTACGACCCTATTTGTATCAATCCCGGTAGATTTAGCACTAAAAATCGTTAAAGAAGAGCTAGAAAATATAGATATTTGGAAAGAACACACAGAGTTAACGTTGACGATAGAACAGATTTACAATCTTTTGGTTTCTGTCTTAAGAAATAGCTTTTTCATGTTTAATGGAAATCACTACCATCAGATTTCTGGTTGCGCAATGGGTTACCAGTAAGTGCGGTAATTGCTGAGCTAGTTATGCAAAGCTGTTGAACCATATGTTCTCCGACAACCGATGACTTGTGTTCATCAATGCGTTGATGTAAGTGTCGGCAAGTGTAACCGACATAATCTGCGTCGCACAGATCACATTTGAATAAATAAACAACGCATTGCTGATTCACAAGGGGTGGTTTCGTTTCTGCTGCTGGGAAGTCTGCGGCAATCTTTCTGCTTGTGTAGACCGGTTGTATTTGTCTACCGATAGTCTTGCTGAGGTTACGCAGCTGTCGCCTCACCGAGTCTGCTGATTTCTGGTCTTTAAATGGTAGCATTACACGTACCACGTTTTCTTTGGTGTTCCTTTCCTCGGCTGGATGATCGTCGCTTTCGCGTTTCTGTTCAGTGTACTTCGTTATGATGTTGTCAAGCAGGGATATAGGATATCTGAGACGAACGAAGGTTTTCTTCAGGCGTTCACATTCCTCGGTGAAGAGCTTCCACGATGATGATTGGCGGAATGCACGATTGAGCATGGTCAGGACAAGCGATTTCTTATACTTCACGTCTACATGACTATCATAATGTAACATAAGGCCAGTGTTTGTTGGCTTGATGTAGACTTTCGTTTCTACTCGACCGTTCTTATTAATTAGGGTTGTGCCCAAGAAAGGTAATACACCATCGGTCTCTAATTCCATAGTGAAGTGAAGGGATGGATGCAGACTGTTGAGGGTAGAAAGGAATGCTTCTGCGGAAGCAATGTTGCTTTGCGATGTGATGGTATCATCAACAAACCGGTGGTATAAGGAAGGCATCAGGTTGCGTTCCACCAGCTTTTCCTCAATTGAACACATGAACGCGTTCGCCATGAGTGGACCAAGTGGGGAGCCCATTGCAACTCCGTCGACTCGCTCGTATAACTTATCATCGATTTGGAATAGCTGATGTTTAACTGCTAACTTCAAGAGTTCGACAAGTTCGAATTTCTCAAGCTTTAGGTTGTATTTCCAGTTGAACCATTCTTTCTCAAACGCTTTGTCGGCAAGAATTTGGATCGTTTCATCAACTGGTACATTGGTGAAAAGCGATGCAACGTCATACGATACTAGAATGTCGCTCTCAGCCATTTGTTTCTCGCGTATCTCCTCGGCAAACTTTAGTGGGTCGGAAACGGTGTACTTGTTAATCGAAAGGAATTTCAATTTCTCATCCAACCACTTGGCTAGCTTGAAGTTGTAAGTTCCCGTTGCTGATAGTATTGGTCGCATTGCTAGCTGAGGTTTATGGGTCTTAGGTAAACCGTAAAGGTGTGCGAGGCGGGAACCTTTTGGGCAAATTGAGTCAGCTATTTCTTTGGGTAGGATCTTTCTAACGGCGGTCTCGAGCTCTTTTTCTTTTCTAAGTAGGGGGTGGTAATGTTTGACAGGTCTTCCTCTCGACTTTGGTCTTTCCAAACTCACGCTCTTGAACTTCTCCGTGTTGTTGATCGATGCTTCGTTTAGCAACTTGGTGTATTCGGACTTATCCATTACGACAACCCCTGTTCCTTTATCTGGTTTAGTGATAACGATATCGTCTCGTTTCTTAAGTTGGTTTATCGATTGAAGCAACGTCTTTGGCGGTGATGTATTTCTCCGTTCAATTGCTCAATTGCTCTGAACTATATTGAACGGAGAAATACATCACCGCCAAAAACATTACCACCCCCTACTTAGAAAAGAAAAAGAGCTCGAGACCGCCGTTAGAAAGATCCTACCCAAAGAAATAGCTGACTCAATTTGCCCAAAAGGTTCCCACCTCGCACACCTTTACGGTTTACCTAAGACCCATAAACCTCAGCTAGCAATGCGACCAATACTATCAGCAACGGGAACTTACAACTTCAAGCTAGCCAAGTGGTTGGATGAGAAATTGAAATTCCTTTCGATTAACAAGTACACCGTTTCCGACCCACTTGTCGAACTCTTGAAGTTAGCAGTTAAGTGGCAGTCCCGCTAAGAGCGGTCCGATGACTTTGACTTCGGAAAATAGATTTCCTTTATTTTTTGTGTGTTGAAAGGCATTGGTATACAAGTGTCCAAAATAAATTAATTTTTTGAAAATTCTTTTTTATGGCTTCGCTAGACGCCGAAACTCATTTTACCCGTGCAGAGCTAATTTCAAGCAAAATCGAAGGTTGAATTTCGGTAAATTGTAGAGCCGCGCTGTGTCAAAACGCCTGACTATTTCCAAATTTCAACTAGATCGACAAGTTAAGACACAATTCAGGTTCCCTGTTCCAAAAAATAAGAGCATTTGAATAAATTGTGAATAAACGACAGCGACTTGACGGCACACCGGTTTTTCCTTCTTGTTCGGTCTACAAAATTACACTAAAATCGAAGCCTGAGATCTCCAAATGGGGACCTAAAATTACGCTGAAATGTGCTTGGCTGTAATGATTTATACTTATTTTCAGAAGATCTGAAGAAAAACCTGCGGGTATCAATCTGTATTTGGCGCGAGTTAAGATTTTCTGGAGCCCATAATCAATGATTTTTGCATAATTTATAGCTAATTAACATATTTCTTGAGAGGCGCTAAAAGTAAACAATTTCTTTCTGACTAACATATCTCAGATGAAAGAAACTACCACAGCTAGTAATACCCTTTTTGTAAATATAGTCGTTTCCTGACACGCTGAGAGAGCTTTGTTTTTTAATGTTATGCCACATTTATTCAGTCTGACCAGATTCATAAATGTCACGAACTTGTATATTTAAAAAATATCAGTACCACAAATCAGAATTCAGAAAGACCGATTATTCTTTCCTTGATTCAGTTGATGGATTTAGTTGATTGATTTAAAAAACTATAAGTATAATAGAACATTCCATGTGTTTCCATTGCCCCTATATAGGGCTAGAATTTTTATCAATATGTTCTATTTTTCTGTGGCGACGGCATATTAACAAAATACGACACAAAAATGTACATTCGAATTTATGACCGACATATCAGAATGTTATTTATGAAGTTTGAATTGAATTTACTTAACGCGAAATAAATACTAAAATAGGAATTTTCTATGCTGGGTTAGTAAAAGAAAAAGCATAATTTTAATTGTATGTAATTTCGATGAATACTATAAAAAAAAATTATACGCATTGTTTATATAAATTAGCTAACATTTACACATTTATTACGATAGTAGCGACGTTTGTTTTAGCCATGTAACAAAATAAACTATAAGCATTCTGATCAGTTATTTAACAAATATATCAAACTTGTGTCTTCACAAACTTTTGAAATTTATTCTCAGCTATGGAGCTCACGAATATTTTTTTTTCAAAGAAAAATATTGAAATTCGATTATTTATAAAATTGATATTTTTGTTAAAAATGTTAGCTAATTTATATAAACAATGCGTATAATTTTTTTTATAGTATTCATCGAAATTACATACAATTAAAATTATGCTTTTTCTTTTACTAACCCGGCATAGAAAATTCCTATTTTAGTATTTATTTCGCGTTAAGTAAATTCAATCAATTCAAACTTCATAAATAACATTCTGATATGTCGGTCATAAATTCGAATGTACATTTTTGTGTCGTATTTTGTTAATATGCCTTCGCCACAGAAAAATAGAACATATTGATAAAAATTCTAGCCCTCCTATATAGGGGCAATGGAAACACGTGGAATGTTCTATTATACTTATAGTTTTTTAAATCAATCAACTAAATCAATCGACTGAATCATTGAAAGAATAATCGGTCTTTCTGAATTCTGATTTCTGGTATATTTTTGAAATATACAAGTTCGTGACATTTATATGAATCTGGTCAGACTGAATAAATGTGGTATAACATTCAAAAACAAAGCTGTCACAGCGTGTCAGCAAAAGAACATTACGACTATATTTACAAAAAGGGTATTACTAGCTGTGGTAGTTTCTTTCATCTGAGATATGTTAGTCAGAAAGAAATTGTTTACTTTTAGCGCCTCTCAAGAAATATGTTAATTAGCTATAAATTTGCAAAAATCATTGATTATGGGCTCCAGAAAATCTAAACTCGCGCCAAATACAGATTGATACCCGCAGGTTTTTCTTCAGATCTTCTGAAAATAAGTATAAATCATTACAGCCAAGCACATTTCAGCGTAATTTTAGGTCCCCATTTGGAGATCTCAGGCTTCGATTTTAGTGTAATTTTGTAGACCGAACAAGAAGGAAAAACCGGTGTGCCGTCAAGTCGCTGTCGTTTATTCACAATTTATTCAAATGCTCTTATTTTTTGGAACAGGGAACCTGAATTGTATATTAACTTGTTGATCTAGTTGAAATTTGGAAATAGTCAGGCGTTTTGACACAGCGCGGCTCTACAATTTACCGAAATTCAACCTTCGATTTTGCTTGAAATTGGCTCTGCACGGGTAAAATGAGTTTCGGCGTCTAGCGAAGCCATAAAAAAGAATTTTCAAAAAATAAATTTATTTTGGACACTTGTATACCAATGCTTTTCAACACACAAAAAATAAAGGAAATCTATTTTCCGAAGTCAAAGTCATCGGACCGCTCTTAGCGGGACTGCCACCTAAACATCAGCTATTCCAAATCGATGATAAGTTATACGAGCAAGTCGACGGAGTTGCAATGGGCTCCCCACTTGGTCCACACATGGCGAACGCGTTCATGTGTTCAATTGAGGAAAAGCTGGTGGAACGCAACCTGATGCCTTCCTTATACCACCGGTTTGTTGATGATTCCATCACATCGAAAAGCAACATTGCTTCCGCAGAAGCATTCCTTTCTACCCTCAACAGTCTGCATCCATCCCTTCAGTTCACTACGGAATTAGAGACCGATGGTGTATTACCTTTCTTGGGCACAACCCTAATTAATAAGAACGGTCGAGTAGAAACGAAAGTCTACATCAAGCCAACAAACACTGGCCTTATGTTACATTATGATAGTCATGTAGACGCGAAGTATAAGAAATCGCTCGTCCTGACCATGCTCAATCGTGCATTCCGCCAATCATCATCGTGGAAGCTCTTCACCGAGGAATGTGAACGCCTGAAGAAAACCTTCGTTCGTCTCAGATATCCTATATCCCTGCTTGACAACATCATAACGAAGTACACTGAACAGAAACGCGAAAGCGACGATCATCCAGCCGAGGAAAGGAACACCAAAGAAAACGTGGTACGTGTAATGCTACCATTTAAAGACCAGAAATCAGCAGACTCGGTGAGGCGACAGCTGCGTAACCTCAGCAAGACTATCGGTAGACAAATACAACCGGTCTACACAAGCAGAAAGATTGCCGCAGACTTCCCAGCAGCAGAAACGAAACCACCCCTTGTGAATCAGCAATGCGTTGTTTATTTATTCAAATGTGATCTGTGCGACGCAGATTATGTCGGTTACACTTGCCGACACTTACATCAACGCATTGATGAACACAAGTCATCGGTTGTCGGAGAACATATGGTTCAACAGCATGGCGAGGACGCAATTAGAACATCGGGAAAACTTTAAGGTATTGAGAAAATGTCGGGGAAAGTTCGAGTGTTTACTCTATGAAATGTTATATATTAAAGATCTTAAACCTAGTTATGCAAAGGGTGGAAAAAAAATGCTGTGAGAACATCCCCAGTGCCGATACGATGATGGAAAAGATATGTTGATGTCTCAAACGCGTGTTTAAAACAAAATGATATAACAGCTTTTCATGATCATTTAAATTCTATAAATCCTTGTATTCAGTTTAGTATAGGTAATCATGCGATGGCGAGTACAATTAGGGATTAATAGTACGAGTGATGTTTGGAAATTTTGCCAAAATTGGGCGAGCCGCCGGGGCGAGTCCAACTTGGCCAATTATCGAGAAAGTGGAAAGTGTTGTAACCAGAATGAGATGGAAAGCCGACTTCTTTCTAAACGGACAAAGCAAGTATGAACGAAACAACTTTGGCTTAACATCGAAAAAGTCGCCACCTTTTGTCAAGGAAATGAAAGGGTTTCGAGAAGTGAACGACCCATTCCTTACAAAAATTAATAACGATCTAAAAAAGGTAAATTCTTGTAATAAATTCTAAATGTATATATTCGCTGATAAAACAAGAAACCTTTACGAAACTACGCCAGATCAATACGATATGATATTGAAAGATAACATTGCCAAATCTTACAAAATCTCTGAAAAAAACATGTTAAATAACGTGAACGAAGATCTTAGAGACATGCATTGCTATAGATCTTTCAATCGATAACCGTATTGAATCAATGGCAAACCGAGAAGCGTTCGTGACAGCAAAGGACCACAAGGAGAATTTCGAGGACAACCCAAAGTTTCGATTAATAAACCCCGCCAAAAGTGAACTTGGCAAAATTATCCTTGATGAAATCAATAACAATATTAGGGAACGGACAGGCGTCAACCAATGGAGAAATTCCCAATCAGTGATCGACTGGTTTAAAACTATTAACGATAAACCTAACCACATCTTTATTTCTTTTGACATCGCGGAATTCTATCCATCTGTCACGGAAGAATTGCTGGATAAAGCTATCTGCTGGTCGCGCACTATTACACCAATCACTGACCAACAAGAAAAGATTATCAAACACGCACGTACCTCATTTCTGTTCAGCAACAACGATACATGGATTAAACAAAACTCTAAATCTCTTTTTGATGTAACGATGCATGGGCAGTTATGACGGCGCTGAAATATGCGATCTTGTCGGTTTGTATATGCTAAATGTCCTTACCAATGAGTTTTGGAAAGAACGTGTTGGTTTGTATCGGGATGACGGACTTGTTTTAATCAAAGGAAAGAGCGGACGGATTGCAGATAAGGTACGGAAAAAGTTGCATACATTATTCGAACAGTTCAACTTGAAGACCACGGCCCAAGTAAACCACCAATCTGTCAACTTTGTAGACGTCACATTCAACCTTACAGAGGAACGCTACCAACTATATAGAAAACCCAATAATGAACCCATTTACATTGACAGTCGCTCGAACCACCCACCAGCCATAATTAGACAACTACCTAAATCAATAAATCACCGTATATCAAATTTATCCTCTGATCAGCAAACCTTCAAATCATCAGCGCCAACCTACGAGAATGCATTACGTCGTAGTAATTATGATTTTAATTTACAATAGTAAAATATCCAAATGGCCATTCCGCCACGGATCACTGATTAAGCATTGGGGAAAAGGAAGGTCCATTGTTTCCAAATGAAACATGGAAATGGATCCGCAGCAGAAAGCCACAAGGATGGGAAACAGAAGGGTGGGAGGGTGGGCGTTTTTACAACACACAAGAGTAAACAACACCCTGACGCAGCCCCCTCCTTCTCGCCCCCTTCTCCGGTCCTAATTTCTTTATCTTGCACTTTCTCTGTCTTGGCGATCAGCACAGAAAGAGCAGTTACAACCTGTAAACTAGGGTTTTATGCATTGTACATCATTATTTATTCATAAAACAACGTTAATTACTCAAATTCATTAGTTAATCAGCTTCCGCGGCGTGTTTGGCCAATTTGAATAGTAAAATATCCAAATGGCCATTCCGCCACGGATCACTGATTAAGCATTGGGGAAAAGGAAGGTCCATTGTTTCCAAATGAAGCACGGAAATGAATTCCTCCGCAGTTCAGTTACTACTCGCTCCCAACACTGCATCTCCCCCCATATACCCAAACCCCCATTCTCATATACCCAAACCCCCATTCTCATCAGTATACCAAACCCCCATTCTCATATACCCAAACTCCCATTCTCATATACCCAAGCCGCCATTCTCATATACCAAACCCCCCTGCTCAAAATACCCTACCGAACCCCGCCGATTCGCATGTGCCACACACACAAACCAAACTATAATCTATTAAGCAAACAAACCGGCAATGGACAGTATGAAAAAAAATGAAAGTGAAAAGCGATAGGTGGACTAGCATGGTCAAGCGACAATGAACGCAGAGAGTAACCCGGAACTGATGCCACAGGTCTGGTCCCCGGGAGAAACTTCCACCCAATGACTCGCTTCTTAAGACGCGCAGAAGCTGCCAACGGAACAAAGTTTAGCGAGTGGCGAGAGAAAAGATGAACAAAGAAGTAAATCCCCAAAGCACCCCCCGGAAGGACCAGAAAAGGGCAACAGTCCCGGCACAACTGCTAGAGTCGAACACAAAGAGCTTGAGATAGCCCTGGGAAAGTTGACCCCACCAGCCAAGAAAAGAAAAAAGAACCCAAGAAATGCAAACGAAAACCAGCGAACGAGCGCAAACACAAGATCAGTAATTTCATACACACTCGAAAACCTATATTGCCCAAGAATTGGGTGATTCGCGTATGGCAAGGAAGGTATACCGTTCTGAATCGCCAAAACATTGGCCCTTGTCTGTCTAATCCAAATGCAGTAAACGCGTGCGCTCGGTCTCAAGCAATCATGTATTGCGAGATGCATCTCTTGCATTTGCAATGTTCGTGCTCAATCCCAAGCAATCATGGATTGGGTCTATTGGGAGATGCATTGCTCTGCTTGCCCAAACATATGAGCAACGGACCACTAAACAAATTCCGTAACTGCAAGACGCCGCTCCCGCGCATGCACTAAACTCATTGACAAATGATTTCCAAACATGCACCTCGCTCAAACACCAAAACATATTAGCAACTTTGTTTTAAAATCCAAATTTAGTAGCTACTCGTTTTCTGTCTCCAGCAAGCGTGCAATTGTGAGATGAACTTCTCGTATACGCCAAACAGATTGGCAACGTTGTTTAAAATCCAAAGTCAGTAGCTTTTCGTGCTCGGTCTCAAGCAATCTAGCATTGCGAGATGCACGTCTCTCAGACGCCAAACTTATTGGCCACTGTGCCTTAAATCGAAATGCAATAGCTACTCGTGCTCGGTCACAAACAGTCATACAATTGCGGGATGCACTGCTCTGATACGCCAAACACATCACCCACTTTGCCGTAAATCCAAATTCACTGAGCTAATCGTGCTGGGTTTCAAGTAAACATGCTTTGGAAGATGCACATTGCTCATGCGCCAAACACATTGGCCACTGTGCCTTAAATCCAAATGCAGTAACTAATCTTGTTCGGTCGCAAGCAATCATGCATTGCGAAATGCACCTCTCTCATACGTCAAACACATTGGCAAAGTTGTCCTAAAATTCAAATTCAGTAGCTAATCGTGCTCGGTCACCAGCAATGATGTAATTGCGAGATGCACTTTTCTCATACGCCAAACACAGTGGCAACTTTGTCAATAACTACTCGTACTCGGTCTCAGGCCATCTGGCATTACGAGATGCACTTTTCTCATACACCAAACACATGAGCAACTTTGTATAAAATCCAAATTCAGTAGCTACTCGTGCTCGGTCTCAAGCCATCTGGCACGGCGAAATGCACTGTTCTCATACACCAAACACATTGGCAACTTTGTGTAAAAGCCAAATTCAGTAGCTACCCGTGCTCGGTCTCAAGCAATCTAGCATTGCGAGATGCACTTCTTTCATACCGCCAAACACATTGGCAACTTTGTACAAAATCCAAATTCAGTAGCTACCCGTGCTCGGTCTCAAGCAATCACGCATTGCGAGATGCACTTCTCTCAAACACCAAACCCATTGGCAACTTTAGTTAACATCCAAATTCAGTAGCTACCCCGGTGCTCGGTCTCAAGCAAGCTAGCATGGCGAAAGGCACTTCTCTCATACGCCAAACACATTGGCAACTGTATTTAACATCCAAATTCAGTAGCTACGCGTGCTCGGTCTCAAGCAATCTGGCATTGCGAGATGCACTTCTCTTATACGCCAAACCCATTGGCAACTTTATTTAACATCCAAATTCATGATCTACTCGTGCACGGTCTCAAGCAATCTAGCATTGCGAGATGCACGTCGCTCATACGCCAAACCCATTGGCAACTTTGTTTAAAATCCAAATTCAGTAGCTACTCGTGCTCAGTCTCAAGCAGTCTGGCATTGCGAGATGCACTTCTCTCATACGCCAAACACATTGGTAACTTTGTTTAAAAAACCAAATTCAGTAGCTACTCGTGCTCGGTCTCAAGCAATCTGGCATGGCGAAATGCACCTCTCTCATACGCCAAACACATTGGTAACTTTGTTGAAAAAGCCAAATTCAGTAGCTACTCGTGCTCGGTCTCAAGCAATCTGGCATTGCGAGATGCACTTCTCTCATACGCCAAACACATTGGTAACTTTGTTTTAAGAGCCAAATTCAGTAGCTACTCGTGCTCGGTCGCAAGCAATCTAGCATTGCGAGATGCACCTCTGTCATACGCCAAACACCTTGGCAACTTTGTTTAAAATGCAAATTCAGTAGCTACTCGTGCTCGGTCTCAAGCAATCTGGCATTGCGAGATGCACTTCTCTCATACGCCAAACACATTGGTAACTTTGTTTAAAAAGCCAAATTCAGTAGCTACTCGTGCTCGGTCTCAAGCAATCTGGCATTGCGAGATGCACTTTTCTCATACGCCAAACACATTGGTAACTTTGTTTAAAAAACCAAATTCAGTAGCTACTCGTGCTCGGTCTCAAGCAATCTAGCATTGCGAGATGCACGTCTCATATACGCCAAACACATTGGCAATTTAAATCCAAATGCAGTAGCTACTCGTGCTCGGTCTCAAGCAATCTAGCATTGCGAGATGCACGTCTCATATACGCCAAACACATTGGGAATTGAAATCCAAATTCAGTAGCTACTCGTGCTCGGTCTCAAGCAAACTAGCATTGCGAGATGCACGTCTCTCATACGCCAAACCCATTGGCAACTGCTAAATCCATAGGAGGATTTGTGCTCGGTCGCAAGCAAGCAATTATGTATTACGAGATGCCCTTCGGTCATACGGCAAACACAGTGGGCCTCTGTCGCCCAAGCAAATGCAATAAACTACGGAAGCTCGGAATGAAGCAATCATGCAGTGCAATTCGCTCCCGTCCCATACCATACGAAAGCACAATACCCAATTACCATTTTATTAAAGGCGAAAGTAATCACTATAGCCTAGCTATTTTGCTTTTCAACAATTTAATCTTGCGAAATACACGACTCGCTCGCGTAGAACATTAACAAAATTAACAATGCTAATAATACCAGACGGGAATCATTCATGCGTCGCAATCTCAACTGAACTAAAATAACCGAAAGCGAACTTGAGGGTAAACAACCCCGCACAAGGACGGAAATACACATCAAATGAAGATATAATGTATAACATACAACAGAACTGTAACTAAAACCACAAGTGTAAGCGATCTTTAAACACACACAAAAGAGAGGCGGCCGTATTTTCCGATCAACCGCCCACGAGTGAACCATGCATGCATGCGTTATACAACGAAAATAACTTCGCCACACCGATCATATACTGCTAACACAGCGATATAACTACCCAAAGGGCAAAAATCTTAACTAGACCCGCAAAAAAAACACGCTACAATTCAAACAAATACCAATAGGAATAAAAGAATCACGTCCAAGTCCAAGTTTGATGCCTGAAGCTGTTCATTTTCAATTGGGATCATTCACCGACGAAACTGGTTCATTCTGAGGCGGAGCGGAATCAAGATCAATCGGTTGGGCAACAGCATTAAAAGTACCGCTACTTGTAACGTGCAAGGAGGGCGAACAGGCGTGGAGCCATACTGTAAAGTCCGTAAATTTCTTTATCTTGCACTTCTCTGTCTTGGCGATCAGCACAGAAAGAGCAGTTACAACCTGTAAACTAGGGTTTTATGCATTGTACATCATTATTTATTCATAAAACAACGTTAATTACTCAAATTCCATTAGTTAATCAGCTTCCGCGGCGTGTTTGGCCAATTTGAATAGTGAGCTTGTTCTGATAATACTCTAAATGTGTAAATTCTTAGCACAAAATTGAAGAATTAAATCTTTATTATAACCTGCTTTGTTATATCTGTGGCCGTATTGGTTAATGCAGTCACGCGCTAACTTACGGTAAACGAAATATTTTTCTTCTTGGACTTCTCGGCGGCCGAACGGTAAACACACAGAACAAAATTTAACCTGTCACTGCCAGATTTCCCACTATAAATTTCCATTTCACATGCTTTCTTATAGCCAAATTATCTACATTGCATTTATGATGATACACAGTAAATCTTTGAAAAAAACCAGGAAAATATCACGGTAAACATCCGAGGACTCCCATTATAAATATAATTACTCAATGATTCTTAATTATTCAGCAACTATCACTTTTCAATGTTTACTGTGGGCATTTTAAATACAAGCGTTTAGAATTAATATATTTCATGATACTATAATGGCATAGAGTTTTTACACAACTAGATATAAAATAATTGTCATACGCTTCTTTCTATCATGCGTTAACACGTAAAGAGATAGACAAACGCGACGGTAAACGCATCGCTATTTAGTGAGCATATGACAAACCGGAAGCGAATGCTCCTTTAATCTCGACTCTATCGCTCATTTTGCTTTATCACTCTAATACAGTCATAATATAGCATTTGCAGAATTTCCGACTGTTTTCTAATGCAGAGAAAAGATAATTAATGAAGATTTATTGTAATATACATTTTCAGACAATCATAGACAAATTTACTCGGACAAACATGGCAAATAAATTATTTTTCGAAACATTTTCATATATACTTCGTAAAGTCGGTCCCCCCTCCCTTGAAACAATGTTGATGAACACTTCAGTCATTATGGCAACTATTGCGGTATCTGTAGCAACAACATTGTAACGGGGGAGCGGGGAATAACGGCTGAATATGCGTATAATTATTGGATTGCTTTAAATTTCAGCCACTTTTAATCAGCGTCCGCATGTTATTTGTCTAGGATTGTAGTTTCTAGAACATCCATACTGCAGGAAGTTATGTAACGTCAACATGGCGATGGTCAGATCACTAATAAAATTTGGGTTGAGTGGTATCGGTCTGAACACGGGCTTTATGACCAATTCAATTTGACAACAGTAGTACTCTATCTAAATAGCAGTTAAAATAGAGTGTACGGCACCTGAGTTATTCAATATCTTGCTTGACAGACCTTCTAAATACATATTTATTTAAATTTATTTAGAACCGCCATATTTATTTACATTAGAACTAACGTGAATATCCCGCCTTCCAGGAATGAACCACGCACAAATATTGGTTTTCCACACTTTATTACTATCACAAATCACTGTAAATCTCACTTGAATGTTCGTATTAATTCGCACGGGTCGCTCTCTCTTTGTTTACACACACTTCACTAATCTATATCCTATCTCATATATGGGCATAACTTCCCTATATGGTCGTTGTTTTGACCGAACTCAAGTTCTGGCTAAATATCTATATAATTTTAATGTTAACGTGTCCCAGTTCCCAACACACTCACCCTATGCGACACCCCTCCCCCCCCCCCGCCAGGTGTTGCATGTTACATAAGGGAACCGATTGTTTCACTGTTCGAACAAAACTAATTAATAACGAAAATGAAGTTTATCAATGTTTTTTTCTCTGTAATGTCTTTACTGTTCTTCCTCGTATTCAGCATCGCTTGAATCTTGGCTTGCGCATCCTGAATTGCTCTTCTCTTCGGCCTAAACTCTGCTGCTTGTGGGTTCAGCGGTTCAGTTGGTTGCTGTTCGTCACTGTTGTCACACTGGAGTTCGAGAGGATAAGCCTGATTCTCATTTATCGTAAACATCGGCGATGCCCATTGTCCGTGGTCATTGACGCATACAATCTTTTGTGCATTTTCTTCTTCGTTGCTCACAGACAATAGATGGTAGAACATCGCCGATTAATGAGAACCAGGCTATAGATGAGCTGAATAGGTCGCTCCAAATCTCCTTTTGCTGTTTGAAGCTTGACTCCTCGTACGATTCCATCTTTGCCGATTATATGTCTGTCTGCATTTAGGGCTAATTACAGCACTGCAACTGCGCTCATAAAGATTACCGACATTCTATTTAAAGATATATAGATATATATCAAGTTAATGGATGCTACTTGTCGATTATCGAAAGGCATATATTTGATTTGGTGGACCATTTAATCTTGATAAAGAAACTGGAATGTTATGGACTTGATAGTGCTGCTGTATCTTGGTTCAATTCGGGGAGGAAGCAGTATGTATATTTTAGGGCACATTATCAACAACTCGGGAGATTACTGACGGAGTTCCCCAGGGGTCAATTCTTGGCCCTCTCTTGTTCCTGATCTTTATTACCGAATATATCACAAACCGACTTTGAAGGGAGTTAGCTCAAATCTTCCAATTCCCGAGAAAGAGTCTTGTTGTATAATGGAATGATTAAGCCGTTGTTCATGCATTGTAGTGTTGTTTGGTCTAATTGTAGACATGACAACATTTTGAAACTTTTTAAACTTCAGAAGCGAGCTGCCAGAGTACTAGTAATTTTAAACTTGAAACCACGGCATCCGTCTATTGATGGATTCAACCAACTTAACTGGATTCCTTTCTATGTTAAATCAGATCTTAGGAGATGCATGTTGGCGCATAAACGTATCAATGGTGAAGGACCAGAGAAATATTATCGCCAAACTGAAGGTGGTAAAAGGTTTTCAACATGCGCAAGTAAACTTTGGAGCAGTTTACCTCTGAACATTAGATCTATTTCATCAGCTAAAACATTTAAACGTTCTATTACTAATATATTTTTAGAACATCAGAAAGAACACAAATATTTTACTACTTTTACTACCATGTTTTCAAATTATTAGTTAACTTAGTATTTAAGTCTTTCATGCATGTACATCATCAAATCTTTCATGTATTGTTTAGATAGTATAGCATATATTATTGTAATATTTTTATATTGTACCTGAGGGCCACAGGTTTGTTGGTGTGAATTCACTATTATGTGCTACCCTCTTGAAATAAAGTTTTTCATTCATTCATTCATTCACTCACAACCTTCCCGAGTTTCCTTTTACGATTACTATTTCTCTGCGGGATCGATGGCCGGCATTCGTCTTTCGGCGGGCTTTGTGTCTCTCTCGTAGACCAATCGGGTACTTTCGAGTCCAACGATTCCAGAGACTTTCTTTCGTTGCTCGTAGGAACTTGAGTTGTTTCTTCAAGTCGCGCTCTTCTGCTTGATGGGGTTGGAGCTCCGGCAGTACTTGGGGTCTTCGAAACAGGAACGTGTTTGGCGTCAACACAGGCAATTGAGGGTCATCTTCCAAATATGACAAGGGTCGGTCCTTCATGCACATCTAGCACGACTTTTTCCAATTCTGAGAAGGTCAGCATTCCACCTCCCACAGTTTTGCGAAAAGTGGCCTTGAAGATGCCAATGAGCTGCTCAAACTGACCACCCCACCAAGGTGCTTTTGCAAGGTTGAGGCGCCACTATATCTCTTGCTTGCAAAGGGTGGTGTGGAATTTCTCGTATTCGCGGACCTTTTTAAGCCATGTTGCTGCGGCTTTGAATGTTGTACCATTGTTGGAGTACACTGGCGTTGGTCTCCCTCGATGAGCTACAAATAATTTGAAGCTCTTCAGAAATTCTTCTGTTTTAAGACATTTGACAAGCTCCAAGTGCACTCCTCTCGTCAGACCGCATGCGAAAAGAGCTAAGTACGCTTTTCCTTGCTTCTTGCTGGACCGATAGCGAATAGAACCCGCGAAATCAATCCCTACTACGGAGTAAGGGTTGTCCCCTTTTGTTCTGGTCGTTGGAAGCGCACAAGGTGATGGTTCTGCATACGGTTTGGAAAGGGTTCGCCTACATCCCCCAACAGTCCCTTCGGACCCGTTTCACCAGGCTACGCAATCCAGGGATTCAGTAACGCTGTCGTACTTTGGTCATCGTAAGGGATGTTCCCCCATGCAAAGTAGCAATGTGTTCGCGCTCAACTAACTTCTTCGAAAACAGTTCGCTGTTAGGAAAGTACAGAGGGTAATGTCCAACAATGCGCCCCGGCACTCTAACAGCCCGTTCTCGTTCTCTTGGAGGTTAAGATCTTGGTTTCTTTCGCGTTCTGCTGATGTCACCGACTTCAGAACCTTTTCCACCCACCACATCTCTTCTTTGAGGCACTCTTCATATCGAAGTGGGCCTTGTTTTCTTTCTGCGGGCTTGCTCCTGATATTATGAACGAATCTCTTCACCCAGGCGCGAATTCTCAAAGTTTTCTGTCAGCTGTATTTCTCTAGGAGACGTGTGTGACAGTCTTGTTCAGATTCTGCAACTGCGAGCACTTCTCGTGTTTCTTTGGCTTCTGCTAGCGATTCTGGAGATGTCTGAACAAGTATCTCTGCTGGCCACTTTGCTTCGTCGCCGAGCCACGCCGGTCCGTGTAACCACAATTGTGTCAGCTGTCCTCCTCTGCTGCCCAG